AAAATTCGCACATGGATAAAACATCACTTTTTACAGGCCGCAGAGTCATTAAATGTTTGTTAGTGGTGCAATTTGTTTAAATAATAATGTGTTTATTAAAATCAAAATATACCACAAATTAATGCAAAATACGTCGAATAATTTTAACAGGAATATCAGAGGAAAATTAATGATCTATTGGTTAGCAGAGTTTTTAACAAAAACTAACAATTATTGAAAAAAATGGGTATCAATTCGACAGAATTTGAGCAGTTAGTTCAGTACTTTGCCGATAGGAGCGCCACTAAAATTTACGGAAGCGACTTTCCAGGTAAAACCCTTATCGCCTGCTCTACCATAAGCTGATTGTTAGAGTTCTCGGCTGATTTTTCTAATTTATGGCAAGGAACTCAGTTTTATAACAAGCCGTCAGGACCGGCCGTAGTAATCTATTGTTAAGGAAATTAACTTTTACGCAATGAGGTACTATCATAAAACCGAATTAAAACTGGGGAACTATAATATTTTTACTCCACACAGGATCCTGAATTCAATACACATGATTACTAAATATTCATTGTAATATTATTATTAATATATATTTTGCTTTGTTAATTAATAAAACTAATAAACATATTTATAATAATAATAAAAAATATATAAAACACAGCTTTTGTTTAACACGTAGGTATAAGTAGCTAAATGTAGCTACTACTTATCCCAGAAAGGAGGTGTTTTAAAAAAGCCCTACGCCCAGTAACTTCTCCCTTCATTGTTTACTCGAAAAAAGTGCTCGTATATGTTTTCATTTGCCGAGAGATCATTTTCAAAATATATTTATAATAAAAATATGCAAGTCTTGGTGATAAAAAATGTACTCCTAATAAATTATTAAAGTACATAAAAAAATAGAAACTGTGGTATCCTTCCTTGTTCGAAGCCCCACGTTAGGGCGACAGATTGTGGTAGCTCAGCGGTTTATTGATAATAAGCAAACAATACAAAGCAAAATATGGGTATGGGTTATCGAAGTGGTGGCAATTCTCGTCGGGGATGGTGGCGGCTCCTGGGACTTAGAGCGTCGTAGGGGATGACGGCGGCGATGTATGTAGCACAGGGCACCTGGACAGTGCGACCCTGGAGATGACGACGTCGGCGGTGCGGCACAGGAGACCTAGAGAATGCGACCCTGGAGATGACGACGTCGGCGATACGGCACAGGGGACCTGGACAGTGCGACCCTGGAGATGACGACGTCGGCGATGCGGCACAGGGGACCTAGAGAGTGCGACCCTGGAGATGACGACGTCGGCGATGCGGCACAGGGGACCTAGACAGTGCGACCCTGGAGATGACGTCGTAGAAGCGGCGCAGGGGGACCGTAAAACAGTGCAGCCCTGGTGAAGATCTCGAAGCGGCGCAGGGGACCGTAAAACAGTGCAGCCCTGGTGAAGATCTCGAAGCAGCGCAGGGGACCGTAACACAGTGCAGCCCTGGTGATGATCTCGAAGCAGCGCAGGGGACCGTAACACAGTGCAGCCCTGGAAACGACCAGAAGGGGACCGAGACAGTGCAACCCTTAAGGTGGAGATGGTGGAGTTCCATCTGCCTGGAAAGCGTCCGAGTTGCCCTTTTATAGGCAGGGTTGAAATGCGTGGGAGTACCTGCACAATGAAGTAACTTCAGGTGGGGTGCGTTCCAGTGGGGGTGAGCTTGGTGGGGTTGATATCGGCGCTGCCGAGGACAGCGCCCTCGAAAGGGTACTAGCGGAGCGCTTTGAAAGCTCCGCTACAAAACAAATTTTATTTATTTAAAAAAAATCTCTCGCAAAGGCAGGTTCCTATTTCTTCTTGAATCAATTATTTCGGGCAATAATGCGCCAAAGTAAAATCTGCCAAGTTTTTACATATATTTCTTCGTCTTTATAAATTGTTTCTATATTTATTCCTTTGGGTGTCCATACAACAAAATAAACTTGTGAAATACCCGTAACAAGCATTTGTCCCTGGACTTGAAAGTAGTAATCATGATTTTTTTTAGTTTCAATTCTCTGTCTGTCAATGTACAAAATTTGATTATTTTTTTTCTAACCGCTTCTTCGGGAGACAAATCTTGCGATTTTGAAGGGTATTTAATTTCGACTAATGCATTCCTATCCTCTAGAACCCTGTCTGGACTAGCAGCCAAGTAAGGAAATTGTTTTGAAATAAACAAGCCCCACCGTTCAGTTTTTATATTTTTATTTATTTCAAAACACTTGACAGCTTTTTCCTCACTTTGCTGTCCATAGTATATATGACTATTACCTCTAAATGTACTGTACAACAAAGACTCCACAGTTTTAGCTATTGCTGTAGTCGGTCTAAGTTTGTAAATACGTCCAAAATTTGAAGCCGTAACCCTAATTTCTCTTTCTTTTGCCCAAATGTGCCTGTTGCATAGTGTCTATTTCAATTTGGTCTAAATTCAAAGATAATTTTCTCAAAAAGACCTCTTTGGCTGTCACAAATGTTTCTACATCCATGACAGGATTTTCTAAAAAATATTTAAACCATAATCGCATTCGGGACCAGCATACGTAAATTTTTTTACGACATATTTTTTTACGAATACTTTGTCTAAGACGAGCTTGTTTTATAGACGAACAATATTTTTTTGTTATTAAACCAGAACCGTTTTAATCACAATATATTTACTTATCCCCTCTAAAAAATTGATGACGTCACCCCAAAATTTTGCTGAATAAATCCTATCTAAATTGTATAAAATATGATGAGTTTCTTCTTGTGATTCATCATTCCATTCATGTTTTTTGGATTTGCATATACAGGTGACCCCAAAAATTAATGAATGCGTAAATTTATTTTATTGATTTAATCAGGAACTACAGAACCCAATGCTTTTAAATCTTGCAAATGTTTTAAGGTTATAAAGAGCATAATAAATTTTTAGTCAAAATATATTTGCTTATCCCCCCCAAAAAATTGATGACGTCAGCTCAAAAGTTTGAAGCATAATCTTATTTAAAATTTACAAAATATGATGAGTCTCTTCTTGTAATTTATCATTCCATTCATATTTTTTGGATTCGGATATACAGGGAGACTCAAAAAATTTAATGAATGCGCAAATTTATTTTATTGATTTAATCAGGAACTACAAAACCGAATGCTTTGAAATCTAATGTGAAAAAAAAACATAATAAGCATGCAGTCATCACGTTTCCGATAGCGAGGGAAGTACTGTCTAAACTCTTTAGACCAATTTTTTTGATTTTCCCATTTTTCCATTTCTCAATTTTTCAATGTTTCAGTTTGGGATTTTTTCACTGTTTCGCTTCTTTAATTTTCCTTCCATTTTTAGGTTTTTCAATATTTCAGCTTTGGAATTTTGCAATATTTCGTTTCTTCAATTTTTCAAATTTTTGATATTGGTTTTCTCGGTTTATAAATTTTTCGATATTCTAATTTTTTATTTAAAGTTTTAGGTTTCTAGATTTCTCGCTATTTCGACTTTTCGATTTTTCAGTTCCATGATTTTTCAATTTGTCGAATTTTTAAATTTTAGATTTTTTGTTCTCGATCATTCAATTTTCTGAGTTTCAGGCTTTGATTTTTTTTGTTGTTCAATTCTTTAATTTTTAAAATTTTTGTTTTTTAAATTTTCCTATTTATCAGCTTACTGGGATTTCAATTTTTTGATTTTTTGATTGTTCAATTTCTCGAATTTTTGAATTTTTAGTTTTTGATACAATTTTTTTTTCAAAAATTTTCAGTTTTTCAATTTATTAACTTTACGATATTTCAGTTTTACGATTTTAAAATTTTTTTATTTTTCAGTTTTCAATTTTTGACGTTTCTAAATTTTTCGATTTTTCAATTTTTCGATTAACTGATTTTTTGATTATCCCATTTCTCTATTTCTTGATTTTTCAATTTTTCGATTTCTGGATTTTTCCATGTTTCAGTTTTGGATTTTTTCACTTTTCCGATTCTTCAATTTTCTTTCCATTTTTCAGTTTTTCAAGATTTCAGTTTTGAATTTTTTCACTTTTTCGATTTTTCAATTTTCCTTCCATTTTTCAGTTTTTCAGTATTTCAGTTCTGAGATTTTGCAATGTTTCGGTTCTTCAATTTTTCCATTTTTTGATGTTTCGATTTCTCGGTTTTTCAATTTTTCGATTTCTCGGTTTTTCAATTTTTCGATAGGTATTTTAATTTTTCAATTTTTAAGTTCTAGATTTTCCGTTAATTTTTTTGTTTTCCTTGATGTTTGGATTTCTCGATTATTCGATTGTTCAAGTTCTCGGTTTAGATTTTTTGGTTTTTCAATTCTTCGATTTATAGATTTTTCAATTTTTCGGTTTACCGATTTTTTTCATTTAAAATGTTTCAATTTTTCAATTTTGGTGTAATTTGAAAATGGTATTAATAATACATTTAGGCGAATAAACTAATAGACGGGCTTGATAAGCCTTGTTTGCTCTACAGTGTCTAAATTGTGTTTGAATAATATAATAATTATCTCGAATATTAAAATTAATATGTCAAAAGAATACGAGAAATGATTATTCTGTGATGAAGGTATATTGTGGGCCGCCTGTCATAAATTATCATCATTCTGCATTATCGGCTTACGATGCTTTTATGACCCACGTCCGGTAATCGTCTATCCCAGCGCATCAGGTAGATTTAAAGAAGAATTGCTGGTTGCGTTTAAGGCAACAAATGGCGCCCAATTCAAACTTGTCTCTTGTCTAGCGTTCCCCCTTAAGTACTTCTTCAAACTCCTGTAGATAATATTTTAAACCCTATTATGCACACAACTGTCAAAGTAGAAGACTGTAGGAAAACATTGCAGGCTGTATTTACTCTATATTTTATTATATTGGGTGATTTTTAAATTTCTGCTCTAGTTGCCCATGACCCAGTCAGCAGTTTCAATTTTACCAGACTGACAATCCAATGGTGGCTGATTTTCTCGTGGACAAGGATTTGGAAATTGGTAAGAAAGCACAACAGTGTCAAATAACATTTTATTAAGAATATGTATTCAACTTTTATAGGTACATAAGCCTTATAAACCAAACAGGACAATAAAGTAAGTAACAACAGGTATACCAGCAGTGAAAATAGTGTGGCAAGAGTGGACTAAAGCTAGGTACTTGGTTATTCTTCCGACCACACTACTTTTACCGTTTGAGTTTAAAGAAATGACTAGAATGTAATTTTCACCGTTTTCATAATTAGTAAAAATGTTAATTATAAAATTACCAAGAGATAAGTATGAGAATTAAAAATACCGAAAGGCTTTAGGAATACTTTTACAGCTTGTGGAAGACATAAACGAAAAGACGTTTAGGGTAACCTAAACACGCCTCTACCTTCCCCATAGCTGCCATGGTGTATTCACGAAAGCTCCAGTCACCATAAAAACCCTCGTTACCAACCTTCAAACACCAACGATTGACGGCTGGTTGTAAGAATTTCTTGGGAGCTAAACCTTTCATGACTACACTACACACACCAAGTCGTGGACGAAGTTACGCTAAAAAAGTATTACTTTGTTAAAAAATTATAAATATCACAACATAGTAATTGCACTATCTACACAGCTTAAGAATTTTTGGCACTTCGTAAATCACACACAGTATTAGTACACTACGCTATTAATTGCACTTTGTCTAAGTTACGATCACAATACTAAGTTATTTTGGCAATTTAGTCAAGCTGCTTTGCAAAGCTCACCCTATTTTTGCACGGCACAAAACTCCCCTGCCTTAAGACACCCCAACATCAAATTCTGCAACCCCCCACAACTATTCGCCATATTTAAAATCTGCCTCAACTGGTCCAACGTTTTTAAACAAACCACAACACAGCAATCGCTCTTGTCGTCCCCGCAGCCCAGACTCTTCACCGGTTTATTGCCACCCTGACAACACCCACCCTTCCCCGAGCAACAATCGCCCTGAGCAACCGACTGTCGGTCAACCCTATCGTGACCTTCACAACCGTGGCAGTTGTTAACCGAATCACACTTACAATCCACACATTTGCAAATATCCGCGTCGGCTGTCAAATTTTTCAACAGATTGTTGTCTGTGTTCGTCGTTTGTTCAACCGCGCCGCCCAGATTTTGCAAAATGAAATTGTAAGTGTTGTCCAGTTGATCATTTGTGTTAGTTTGAGCAGGTGGCAGGTTAAGGTACGATTGCACGGCAGTAGGAACAGCGATCACTTGATTGTCAGAAGCGGAATTTTGTTCAAACACGTTGGCTTGGCCTGAATTGTAGTAGTTCATGACGTCGACCCACATAGAAGGCACCTCTTCGTCGCAAGCCAGCGACATCTGCAAAGCTTCCGGAGTATAAATTTGCTTATCCAAATTCACCGACGGGTTCTCCGGAGGAGGAATTTTCTTCACACTTATGATATTGACTTTCTTGTTCTTGTCTTCGTTGAAGACATTATCGAACATGTCTACGTCGAACCCGCTGACGCTGGCGTTCTGGCTAGTTAGATCGTACAGGTTAATTCCGGCGTCTTCAATCTCTGTTATGATGGAACTGTCTTCCAGTTCCATTTGAGTATCATTTAAGGTTTCTCCCGATTTTCCGTTCTCTATGTTTTCGGTGCCGATGTTGAAGGGTAGTTGCGTGGGGATGGGTTCTGCTGTGTTTACGGTTGCGTAGTTCTTTAAGCCGTTGGCCATTTCGAATTCGGAACTTAAGTCGGTTTCGATGACGGCAGCAAACTTAGCTTTGTTATCTAGAGTTAGTGAGGATAGGTTAACGTCGTTGATGTTAGGATTTTGGGTTACGTAGTTGTTATTGACTAGATTGTACGTGTTCTTGAAGAGGTTGTCGAAATTGACGTCTTGTAAATTCGGTTCGGTTTGGCTTAGTTTTGGGTCAGGTACTTGTTTAGAGTTCGAGGCTGGGACGTCTGAAAAAAATAAACAAGATTAAGTTGTTGAATAAACAATGTGGCGTTTTCTATGAAGTGAACTGCACTTGAATGGAAGTACTGGATAGCATTGATTTGCTCCGCTTCTTTTGGACTATGGGGCCAATTACAAGTTTCATAAAAACGTCCCTAAATTTTTGCCGGAAATTTTTGTATCTAGTACACTATAGATTTTTAAAATCAGTTGGTACTTCTTGCAAATTTCAAACTGAACTTGACAATCTGTCAGTAGTACCAATTTACAAACAAAATGGGTGGCCTACTCGACATTAAATATTAATGAAAGCCCTGTGGAATCAAGACAATGAACGGAAACTAATACAAAATTCTATGCTAATATTTGTTCTTCCAAAAAGGGAAACGTTCAGAATTCGTCACTTACTACTCGAATTATAATGTAGCATTGACTACCCACTCTTTCTAAATCTTCTTCTTACTTTAGCATCTACTTGGTGTTCACTTTAATTGTCCCCTGTCTATTTTACGGGGACAAATAAGTTTCCAAATAAAAAAACCTCTATAACGAAAATGTCTATGAAAAAAATGCGTTAGAAAGAAGATTTTCTGAAAATAAGCTTTGTAAAAAATATTATCATAAGCAAAATGGATAAGTTGACATTCTATATTCACTTTTCTGCATCTATTTTCTACATTTTTCTTTTGCAACTAATCGATTTTCAAAAAAAAGATCCTTCTAGCTAATTTCTATTTTTGTTCTACCAATTTTTTCAGTACTGATTTCTTGAAGTCTTTAAAACTCTGTCCATCCACGAAGCGACAAATTACTTACCACACAAAATATGCCAAAAATTCTGAGAGAAGTTTCTTGAGCTCCTATAACCAAACCTGATTCAAATACTTGACGCTGTCATTTTTAAGAGCTCAAGAAAGACTACGATATTTTAATAATAATTGATAACAAATTGGTAGAAAGTTATTTCTCCAGAACTTCCCTTGTTTCTGAACTACAGTCCAATGCTGCTTCCCTGAACAATTATAACATTTGATTTTGCGGAATTTTACTTTTTTGTGACAACCTATATGAAGTAAAAACAATATAGAAGGTTCTAGCCACAATGTAATAGAAAGAAGGAAGGTTTCACCTTCTTAAAAAAGGACAGTTGAGAGCCCCGAGAAGATTTTATATTCTTAAAAAAAATACCCTTGGGCCCCGAGAAGGTTTCACCTTCTTTAAAATAAGTCAGTTGAGGCCACCAAAAAGGTTTCACATTCTTTAAAAAAAAAGAACAGTTGAGACTCCCGAGAAGGTTTCACATTCTTAAAAAAAAAGACATTTGGGGCACCTGAGAAGGTTACAAATTGTAAAAAAAAACAGTTGGAACCCCGGAGAAGGTTTTACATTCTTAAAGAAGAAATTTAGCGCCCCCGAGAAGGTTTTACATTTTTAAAAAGGCAGTTGGATCCCCGAGAAGATTTCACATTAAAACAAAGACATTTGGGGCTCCCAAAAGGTTCTACATTTATAAAAAAAAAAACAGTTGGGACACCCGAGAAGGTTTCACATTGTAAAAAAAAACATTTGGCGTCCCCGAGAAGGTTTTGCATTTTTAAAAAAAGACAATTGGGACCCCCGAGAAGGTTTCACATTCTAAAAAAAAATACATTTGGCGTCCTCGAGAAGGTTTTACATTTTTAAAAAAGACAGTTGGGAACCCCGAGAAGGTTTCACATTAAAAAAGATATTTGGCGCCCCCGAGAAGGTTTTACATTCTTAAAAAAAGACACTTAGGATCGCCGAGAAGGTTTCACATTAAAAAAAGACATTTGGGGCCTTCGAGAAGGTTTTACATTTGTAAAAAAGGCAGTTGGAACCCCCGAGAAGGTTTCACATTCTAAAAAAACAATTGGGACCCCCGAGAAGGTTCCACATTCTTAAAAAAAATACAGTTGGCGCCCCCGAGAAGATTTTGCATTTTTAAAAAAAGACAACTGGGACCCCCGAGAAGGTTTCACATTCTAAAAAAAAAATACATTTGGCGTCCTCGAGAATGTTTTACATTTTTAAAAAAGACAGTTGGGAACCCCGAGAAGGTTTCACATTAAAAAAGATATTTGGCGCCCCCGAGAAGGTTTTACATTCTTAAAAAAAGACACTTAGGATCGCCGAGAAGGTTTCACATTAAAAAAAGACATTTGGGGCCTTCGAGAAGGTTTTACATTTGTAAAAAAGGCAGTTGGAACCCCCGAGAAGGTTTCACATTCTAAAAAAACAATTGGGACCCCCGAGAAGGTTCCACATTCTTAAAAAAAATACAGTTGACGCCCCCGAGAAGATTTTGCATTTTTAAAAAAGACAATTGGGACCCCCGAGAAGGTTTCACATTCTTACAAAAATACATTTGGCGTCCCCTAGAAGATTTTACATTTTTAAAAAAGACAGTTGGGAACCCCGAGAAGCTTTAACATTAAAAAAAGATATTTGGGGCTCCCAAGGAAGTTTTACATTCTTAAAAAAAGGCACTTGGGACCCCCGGGAAGGTTTCACATTAAAAAAAGACATTTGGGGCCTTCGAGAAAGTTTTACATTTGTAAAAAAGCAGTTGGGACCCCCGAGAAGGTTTCACATTCTAAAAAAAAAAGGGCCCCCGAGAAGGTTTCACATTCTTAAAAAAAAAATACAATTGGGACCCCCGAGAAGGTTTCACATTGTAAAAAAACATTTGGCGCCCCCGAGAAGGTTTTGCATTTTTAAAAAAGACAATTGGGACCCCCGAGAAGGTTTCACATTCTTAAAAATATACATTTGGCGCCCCCGAGAAGGTTTTACATTTTTAAAAAAGACAGTTGGGAACCCCGAGAAGGTTTCACATTAAAATAAAGATATTTGGGGCCCCTGAGAAGGTTTTACATTCTTAAAAAAAGACACTTGGGACCCCCGGGAAGTTTTCACATTAAAAAAACACATTTAGGGCCTCCGAGAAGGTTTTACATTTGTAAAAAAGGCAGTTGGAACCCCCGAAAAGGTTTCACATTAAAACAAAGACATTTGAGGCCCCCGAGAAGGTTTTACATTTTTTAATAGATAGTTGGGACCCTCGAGAAGGTTTGTTTCACATTCTTAAAAATACATTTGAGGCCCCCGAGAAGGTTTTACATTTGTAAAAAAACAGTTGAGACCCCAAGAATATTTCACATTCTAAAAAAAACATTTGGCGCCTCCGAGAATGTTTTACATTAAAAAAAAATGGGACCCCCAAGAACGTTTCACATTCTTAAAAAAGACACTTGGGACCCCGGAAAGGTTTCACATTAAAAAAAGACATTTGAGGCCTTCCAGAAGGTTTTACATTTGTAAAAAAGGCAGTTGGAACCTCTGAAAAGATTTTACATTAAAACAAAGACATTTAGGGCCCCCGAGAAGGTTTTACATTTTTGAATAGATAGTTGGGACCCTCGAGAAGGTTTGTTTCACATTTTTAAAAATACATTTGAGGCCCCCGAGAGGGTTTTACATTTTAAAAAAAAACAGTTGAGACCCCCAAGAAGGTTTCACATTCTAAAGAAAACATTTGGCGCCCCCGAGAATGTTTTACATGTTTAAAAAAAGGCAGTTGGGACCCCCGAGAAGGTTTCACATTCTAAAAAAACGATTTGGGGCCCCCGAGAAGGTTTTACATTAAAAAAAACAATGGGACCCCCGAGAAGGTTTCACATTCTTAAAAAAAATACAGTTGGGAACCACCAGAAGGTTTCACATTAAAAAAGATATTTGGGGCCCCTGAGAAGATTTTACATTCTTAAATAAAGACACTTAGGATCCCCGAGAAGGTTTCACATTAAAAAAAAAGACATTTGGAGCCTTCGAGAAGGTTTTACATTTGTAAAAAAGGCAGTTGGAACCCCCGAGAAGGTTTCACATTCTAAAAAAAACAATTGGGACCCCCGAGAAGGTTTCACATTCTTAAAAAAATACAGTTGGGACCCCCGAGAAGGTTTGACATTGTAAAAAAAAACATTTAGCGCCCCCGAGAAGGTTTTGCATTTTTAAGAAAGACAATTGGGACCCCCGAGAAGGTTTCACTTTCTTACAAAAATACATTTGACGCCCGCAAGAAGGTTTTGCATTTTTAAAAAAGACAGTTGGGAACCCCGAGAAGCTTTAACATTAAAAAAAGATACTGGGGGCTCCCGAGAAGGTTTTACATTCTTAAAAAAAGACACTTGGGACCTCCGGGAAGGTTTCACATTAAAAAAAGACAGTTGAGACCCCCAAGAAGGTTTCACATTCTAAAGAAAACATTTGGCGCCCCCGAGAATGTTTTACATGTTTAAAAAAAGGCAGTTGGGACCCCCGAGAAGGTTTCACATTAAAAAAAAAACGATTTGGGGCCCCCGAGAAGGTTTTACATTAAAAAAAACAATGGGACCCCCGACAAGGTTTCACATTCTTAAAAAAAATACAGTTGGGAACCACCAGAAGGTTTCACATTAAAAAAAGATATTTGGGGCCCCTGAGAAGATTTTACATTCTTAAATAAAGACACTTAGGATCCCCGAGAAGGTTTCACATTAAAAAAAAGACATTTGGAGCTTTCGAGAAGGTTTTACATTTGTAAAAAAGGCAGTTGGAACCCCCGAGAAGGTTTCACATTCTAAAAAAAACAATTGGGACCCCCGAGAAGGTTTCACATTCTTAAAAAAATACAGTTGGGACCCCCGAGAAGGTTTGACATTGTAAAAAAAACATTTAGCGCCCCCAAGAAGGTTTTGCATTTTTAAGAAAGACAATTGGGACCCCCGAGAATGTTTCACATTCTTACAAAAATACATTTGACGCCCGCAAGAAGGTTTTGCATTTTTAAAAAAGACAGTTGGGAACCCCGAGAAGCTTTAACATTAAAAAAAGATATTTGGGGCTCCCGAGAAGGTTTTACATTCTTAAAAAAAGACACTTGGGACCCCCGGGAAGGTTTCACATTAAAAAAAGACATTTGGGGCCTTCGAGAAGGTTTCACATTAAAAAAAGATATTTGGGGCCTTCGAGAAGGTTTTACATTTGTAAAAAAGACATTTGGACCCCCGAGAAGGTTTCACATTAAAACAAAGACATTTGAGGCCCCCGAGAAGGTTTTACATTTTTGTATAGGCAGTTGGGACCCTCGAGAAGGTTTGTTTCACATTATTAAAAAGACATTTGGCGCCTCCAAGAAGGTTTTTTTACATTTTTAAATAGAGGGGCGTATTCTCACCTTTTTGAGAAACACAATGCAAGAGAAAAAGAGGGAAAAAACGATAACTTGCGCTAATGGTAAACTGTTATTATACCGTGCATTATGTTTTTGCAAAAATTTGGATGGTTAGGGAAAAACTAAAAGCGGATTCGTACACCACACTTTTATGACTATATTGTTGTGTAACAGTTAAATCAGATAAATATAGAATTATTTGAAATGACGTCATCGAATTGTTGGTGGGGATAATTGGCAAAATTTTGGTTACCATGTAACCATCTACATGATATTTCTAATATAAATACAAAAGTCCGTCTAGCAGTTTCGGAGATTACGTGTCTAATAAAAATGGATACAGACACCACAGAAAGACAGACGGAAACGGGAAACTACTTTTTTGTACTGTAGGGGCTTGAAACGTCGAGAAAATATAAAAGTGGCCATTCTTCCGGTGGACTCGACTACTAGGTATACTTCTTTACCTTACGCTCGAGAAGTAAAAACATGAAACCTAAAGATATTATTGAATTTTACTTAGTTATAGTAATTTGTAATTAAACCAAAATAAAATTATATTAAAGACGTAGGGCGTATTTTAATTATTTTTTATATAAATATCACCGTCATTGTCACAAATTGAGATTAAACTAATTAAACTACGTCTTATGTCTTTCACATCTTTTGTTTCCAGAGCCTTCCCTTACGCCCAATTTAAAAAATCATTCGATATATAATTAGCCAAATACACTGACGTCATCCGAGGTCATCAAGATGGCAGCGTTTGACAACTAGCCGATTTTCTCATAAGAGTCAATGCTAATATTTTCGGAATTCATTTAAATTTGAGAGTGTGTCAACTATGTTTTTATAGTTTGGTAAGTTTGTTACAGTTTCTAGACTGTGTAGATATCTGTAAAACGCACCATAACGTTTGAATATCCTTAAAAAATAATGTTTTCCAATGTGATGTACAGGTTAACTTCGCTGCATCTTATATTATTTGTTTTGCAAATTAATTCTGTGTTAATGTACATCAATGTTTTTTAAATACACTAGCATCTTAATATTATAATATTTTGTATTTTAGGAGAAAATGCCTAAATTTTGTGCTGTTGTGGGTTGCGCGAATCGAAGCACCAGAAATGCGGACAAATTTTATTTTCTTTTCCCAGCAATTAGCAACAATAAAGGTAAATATATACAGGATGGGGAAAAAAGGCGGAAGTTTTGGTTAAAAGCCTTGAAACGAGTACAGTAACTACCTATTAGATTTACAGTTTCTAATAAATTACTACATTGGTGCTCTTTTAGGTAAACCTGCAGATTTGTCGGATGTGGATCACCCTGATTATGTTCCATCACAAAATTTAGGATATCAAAATAAATCCACTCATAATACTTGTAATGTTGAAAGACTAGTCGTTTAAAAAAGAGAAAACTGAATAAATGCCTCTAGACTTTTGAATGCACGAATTTCATTGTGGGTTATTTTACTTATTCCAAAAATAAAAAAGTTTAGAATGGTATTCATTGTTATGGTAGGGACATCGTCTAAACACAAATTAAAATCACTTGCACTCATTTTATAAGGATCTACGCCGTTTAAATTGTTTAACTTTTGTACATATCTGTTTTTCTCTTTGACGGAAAGACATCGTGCATAATCACTTAAATTATCCATACTTAGAAACAAATTACACACCTTCACTTAAACCCGTCACATTAACCTCAAACGAAAATATTAATTTCCGATTTACCGCTTAAAACACACGGATGTATTTTGGGTGACGAGGAATTCAGACCAAAACAGCGTTCTGTATTTTTATTTTTATTATGTATTTTTAAACTCAAATCGCCAAAAAAGGCACCCTGATACACAGAAAAGATATGAAAGAAGCTAGTCACATGTTTATTTTCTAGATAAATACCCACACTTTTAAATAAAATGCGAAAATGTTAACATTGTCACTTATGGAGTTTCACGGCGGTTGTCAAACGCTCAGTTCCCGCCACAGCGTGACGTCACGTGTTATTGGCTAATTGCTAGAAATCCACAATATGTAACCAAGCGAAAGACTCTTTGTGTCAACAAATAAAAATCTTTAGATGTTAGGGTTGCATGGAAGAAATATACTACAGGATGGTAAACTTTGTGGACAATCCATGGATGACAAAGCACAGCATTTTATAGGCTACACGCGGTTTTTTACCAATAGTGGAACAAGTAGCGGTGTCTAAGCCAAAAATGTGGTCTTCTGATCTGCTATAGTTCACTTTTTCCTTGATTGCCATCATATTATTAACAATTAGTGAACATACACGTTCAATGGGATGTTTGAACTGCTTTATTTTAGCTTCCAAACGTTGTCGAATCAACTCATTCTGACCTTTGTATTTATCAACATATTTGTACATTAAGTTATATTCGTGCACTTACATCTAGTAACCTTAGCACCTTTGCTTCACTAATCCACCTCGACTCACATTTTTTTGACATAACAAAAAAGAAAACTTAAAATCCACTTAATAGGTTAGACATTTTTTAAAAAGGCTATCCAAAATTATTATTTTGTTCTGGAATATTGTCAATTTTAGTTTGTAGCTGATTTATTGGGCGGCTGTTGTAAATAGCTTACGCACTGATATTTCCTGTAACATACTAGGAATATTTTTTAAAGGCAAAAATATTTACAACAACTTTCTATTTCTAAGATCAACATAAATTCTTAAAATACAAAAATAAAAATAGAATCTTTTGTAGCGGTAAAAATCATAGCTGTACACTTTCCAAGAGCTCATTAAATATATATAATGTACCCGTAAATAAATCCTTATAGAAATGAAGCGAATAATTATCTGGCAATAAAATCCACAGTGATTTAAATATATTGATAAATTTAGAATGTAAATTAAATGCAATGGTGCATTTAACACTCACTTTATAATTCAAACCGCACAATAAAAACTTCTCAAATTTTATACCTCTCCGAGTATTTACAGTATGCGTTCATTCATGTCTCACTCACAAAAAACGTTAAAGAGAAGTATTTTTAGCTCTTGCAACACATGCTCAAGCAAGTGGCTTCTTAATTGACGTCTAATAATAAATGAAGGTAAGGATTAAAAATACCAAAAATAAAAAAAAAGTATTTCATAATCATAACTCACCGGTTTTCTTTCCTTCGACGTCCCATGGATCACCTAAGGCAGCATTAAAATTCTCATAATTATAATTCCCCTCAAAATCAAAAGGCACGCTAATCTGAGCATCTCCGGTCTTCTCCAAAAGCTCCATCTCATTTTTGATGTCTGAGCCGTCTCCACCGTCCACCTCCTCCACGAGCTTCTGACTATCAGCCTTACCCTGCGACTTCTGGTGGGTCTTGATGTGCGACTTTAAGCTGTGAGGAGTCGAAAAGGACCTAGTGCACGTCGACTCCTTGCAAGTGTAGGGCCTTTCCCCGCTGTGTATCCTCTGGTGCGTCTTCAGGTGGTGGCTGGCCGTAAACGCCTTCCCACACCCGTCCTGCTTACATCTACAACCGAAAAAATTCTTTATTAAAATTTTCAAATTCCGTCGACTTACTTGTAGGGTTTCTCGCGTGTATGAGTACGAGTGTGTTTCTTTAAGTCACTTAGTGTGGTAAAGAACTTCATGCATCCCTCAGACTCACAGTTAAAGGTTTTCCCGTTGTGCAAGCGCTCGTGGGCTCTTAACCGGTACAAGGTGTTAAAAGCCTTCCCGCAACCGGGAAATTTGCACTCGAAAGGCTTCACTTTAGTGTGGACTCGGATGTGGATTTTTAGACTGTACGATGTTAGAAAAGCTTTCCCACAGTTAGGTTCTGTGCACTTAAACCTGTATTCACCTGAAAGGCCCGGTTAGTGAGGGGTGCGAGTGGTGGAGGTGTTTACCTTTGTGGGTCTTCATGTGGGTTCGCAGGTTGCCTACCGTGCTGTAAGTCCTGGTGCAGCCGTCGTATTCGCAGTGGTAGCGGTTGACTGTGGTCTCTTTCGTGGAAGGGTCGGTGCTGGTGATGGTCAGGGTGGCATGGGAGGGCTTCTCGGGCATTTTCTTCGACGCTCCAGGGTTGATTTGCATGTAAATTTCGTCCAAAGAAATCGATTGGTGGATGTAACTACAATAACCAAGTGCTTAGATGAAACTCCCTTGGAACCATTTTTTTTTTAGAAAGAGCCAGGTTATAAAGATACAAGTTATTATAACTCAAAATGTTATTGAATAAAAACGACGTCGGAATCTGGAGGTTAGAAAGAGCAAACAAAACTCAATGTAGTTAGTAGTTAAATGTTTCTATTTAATGCAGTTAAATGAAATCTGGAAGAATAATCCACACGGTAAAGACAGCATCCAATTTTATATTTTCTTGATGTTTCCTTGATCCCAATACGAAAATTCAACCTTCTCGTTTCCGAGTGTCTGTCTGTAGTACGTCTGTCATTAATTAGACAGATCATCCAAGATACCGAAACCGCTTTCTCTCATTTGAGAATACTGTACGACGTCAAAACGCTAACTAAAATATAGCTCCTCGTCCCCTCAAAAAACTCAAATAACAATGATTAAATAAATTTTACTCAAATATGAGCGAAGTTTGGGGCTCCTGGTCGTGGCTGTTCTCTCCCCACGATAGTGATTCTATCTATCGCAAGCATTGCCGCCCAGCACGAAGAACATACCTAGACGAGCAAGCTGTTACGGTCGCAAACTCGCAGTTGGGTCCCCGCTATGGGGTAGAAGCCGACAGCGTTACGTCATCTCAACCGCCCCTGAATTCCATTCTAACCTGCATCTTTTGTGCAGATAGCGCGATAAATCCCGCCAGCTCGACTAAGAACCGCGCACTCCGCTTCCACCACGTGTTTCTGTGTTATTTAACCTCAATTCCATCTATATGTTCAATTCTTATAACTCTGATATTAAACTACAACTGAATATGTGTCAGAGTTTCAAAAAGACCAATAAACAACATTTAAATTCGCCCTACATTGGATTGGACATCAAATAATTTATATGATGGAAACATTCATCAACAAAATATTTACACAAAACAAAAAAACAAATTACTGAAGTTAACTGTATAAGATGAAAATTCCAAAGCTAACAAATTTACATGAGATTTATATTTGCCACACTAAATTTAACGGAAATATTTCAAAAAAACTGACACTGATGTCATTATTCTTTACATGATTGTAGTATCAGTTTGCAAAAGTTACATTGTTTTACAAACGGTGTTCTTCCCATGGTAAATATCATGTTTTCCAATGTTCTGAAGTTCTCAATCTAAAATTGTACAGCGTGATTAACAAATACTCCCTGGGTTATTAGCAATAGAATAATTGTGAAGTATTTTTCTTAAGCGGGTATTGGCGAACCTGCTTCAATGCATAACGCTAAGTCACTTTAAAACGCTCAAAAAAGTTAGGTTATGACTGTGTCAAATTTTAAAAATAACGGATAAACAGATATAGTTTTGGAAATTTCATTCTACCCTATAAATTTTTATTGACATTATTGACAATAACTAGGCGAAGGCGAGAGTTGCAATATTTTTTATCTGATTTTATTCAAAATATATGAGACATAAAAGACAAAGTCAAATCAATTTTTCAATCATTTTCTTATCATTCAGTAAATACTTTGAAGTTATAATACCAAAGTCACTGAGTAAACTCAGTCCTCGACTTCGTCTCAGACAAAAGAAGAATTTTTAACTATAAATATAAAATTATGCAAATTATTTTTCTTTTGAGTCAATGTTCCCATAAAGAAATTATAGTAAAAAAATCTTCACTTATTTATTTATTTAACAAAAATCGTTTTTATAAAAAAAATAGATTTAAAATAGGTACAAGATGAAATTAATTTTTCAATAATTCTCTAATCATACAATCAAAATATAAGCCCCGCCCACCCACCCTGTCTCAATTCTGATGATTTTTTTTATTCGTCGTAAATTACCATGTGAAATATGTTTTTAAGTAATCGTGTTATACAAAGAAAGCTAAATGCATTAATTAAAAAAGAATTCCAAAAGTGAGGCCCCACTCATCCGTCTCGATCTCAATCGTGATGAATTTTGTACAATTTTGAACTTTTTTCCAAGTATAGAAACATTTCTTATAAAGGTTTAATAAATTACCTCGCGAAACTTTGCAACGATGTCATCAAGTTGGTAGTGGAAAAGAACAAACTAATTTAGTAAGCGTTACCGGGTTAGTAATCGGTCCAGTAATTTCGGAGTTTTTACTTGGTTCACGTTGCATTAACCCAGTAACCCTTTCAAAGTCACAGATTTATATTTAACATAATATAATGTAATTATATGTAACATAAGTGACATACACGTACTAACAGACATTTCCAAATTTGCCGCTCTTTTCTGCCTATGACAGAGGATATTTCAGAATTTTGAACATCTCGGTTGGCCATGCTTATATAAACTACCCCTAACAATATAAAACGACCTCTAGAAATTTTACAATTTTAGTTATAAAACTGTCAATGTCCATTTTAGGTTATGTACGAAGACAAAGCAAGCGAAAGTGTATGCATATATTTGACAAGATGACAATTATGGTTGTCAATTTATGTTTTTAAACGCGGTTTTGACGATTTCACCAACGCAAATTTGAATTTCCAACGTACACTGAGATGTCATTTTTTATGAAATTTACTTTATAGGATATGGTATACAGGTGTGTCACTAAGCGCGCGGTCCTCGATATCTCATTAATTATTAGAGATAAAAAAAGTCAAAGAGTTGTACGGTTCTTTGAGGACTATACTCTATTTTTAACTATACAGAATGTCCTATTTTTAAGGCGTAACACACAACTTAGTTTTTTTAAATGAAATACCCTATATATTTTAATTAACCTGTTCTTACGCTTTCCCACTACAGTTTACTTTTGAAATTCCGATGCGACGTTGCCACGTTATTCCAAATAAAGGTATGCGCTTTGTTGTGGTATCAAATAAATCAAATTTTAGTATACAGTGTTTATAAGAAAATCTAAAACTTTACAATTTTCAAATATCGATATTTCAGTTTTTTCAAATTACTGTACCTTACTCTATTTGTTGTCCTCATTCTTCTAATATGTTGATGAGTCTCTTAAAAAATCAAAAAATACTCAGCAGAAAAGAAGATAACAAAAAATTGTATAAGATGCAATAGTAAAATACAGGGTGTTCTATTTGAAAAAAACTGAAATATCGATATTTGGAAACTGTACTAATTAAAACAAAAATGTTGTAACAGATTTTAAAAATAATTCTACTGTGATTTTTTGTGAACCTTTCCATTACTAAAAAATTTCAAGAAAATTGGAATAACGTGGCAACGTCGCATTCTAATTTCAAAAATAAACTGTGACTGTAAAGCCTAAAAACAACTGAATTAAAATATATAAAGATAAAAATAGGATGTTTCATTAAAAAAAAAACTAAGTTGTGTGTCACGCCTTAAAAACAGAACACTCTGTATAGTTAAAAATAATTCTAGAGTGTACTTTTTTACTTCGAATAGTTAATGAAATATCGATGAACGCTTAGTGAATCACCCTGTATATTACAGCCATCTAAAACAATATGAATGTTGCAAAGAGAATAATACAAGAACAGCATTTATACATTATGTTTACAAAAAATGATAGATCTTATAGGTAAAAACGTAAAGTTAAAGAAAGTAAACGAAATGTAGTACAGATTTAAGAAATATACAGGTCGTTGTTATTTAATAACAGTTGTTGAACAGTAAACTTCATATTACCTTGTATTACCTAATAACTTTACTATTTTACTGAAAAAATACCGAATGACTATATTGTGATTTCTTTTGTAAGATTGGCAACCGATTTAAAATTTTATGATGGATACCTGATTGTCAAAGTGACATTTATGACAGCTGCCATCGTCTGTTAGGCGGGCTCATGTCAAAATTGACAAGTGTGAACTGATTACGTGTGACGGATGCCAATAATTCAGAACTGCCAATACAAAATTTGCTTCAATCATTAATCTTCACTCGGTGTCATAACATAAAATTCTTATACGTCAAATTCCACAATATGAACAACGCGCGACTTTCACATCAAACGTCAAAGTTCAAATTGTATTTGACAATCTGTCAGTAGTACCAACTTACCAAATTTGTTAACATTGGAAACAAACTAAAAACTGTCGACAATAAATTATCATGTTTTAAATTAATAAAACGTCATCTTATGAAAGAAACCACTATTTTTTTTTGTTTACTACAATACTTAATTAAAGCATGAAAAAGTCTTCAGAACTCTAAGAAAATATTGAAGGTAACACCATTAAAAGCAGATTTATGTTACATAAATTATTATTTTCTCAAAAAATGCATTCTTAGCCATTTCTGTTGAAACTCCACGTGTTAATTTTTCTTAAAATTTGACAACTGGCTGATTGCCAACAGCCTTTAGTTAGAAAGTTGTCTGAATATAAACGTTGCCAAATTTACGATATCAACAAGTGGTGTCTCAACAGAAATGGCAAATAATACCTATATATTACAGTTGGTTTAATATATGAGATTTTTGTCTAATAAAACCGTAACACACAAACAAAACGAGAAAACCTACATGATCGTATTCTACGACTAAAAAACAAAAAAAAATTAAAACTAAACACTCGTCAAAATACTACAAGTCTTGCTTTAGCTTTGGCTCGAGTAGTAGGAAATCAGATGTTTTTAAAAGCTAGACTTGTGTCAAAACAGGATGTGGAACAATTACACTACATTAAAACTGCGACTTCCGGCAACCATAACTAATTAAAATATTGTACATCATTGTCAATGGAACACAAAGCGATATGTACATTCTCTTCCATTTATTTTATTTTTTTTCGGTTTTTATACAGAGTATAAGCTACTGTCACCTTACCAATCAAAGTATTTTCCAACAACAATTGCTAGCACCAACATAATATCATAATAATTTAAACTAAAGCTTACATTTGACTGGGATGGTGCGGGATGGAAAGCCATCGCCTCGTTAATATTTTTCATCCCTTATTATCTCTTGTAATTTGGACTTAAGATCTCATTCACAGCTTTATAACTTTATCTCTCCAAACTTCCCAATTATAAAAAATAGTGTCCATAGTCATATTAAAGAAAAACAGCTAAATTATAAAAAAATATTAGAAATAAAAATGTTAATTAAAATTAATATTTCTTTTGCTTAAAATAAAACAAACCAGCTGAAAGGGGTGTTAATAAAGCAATAAAATAAAATAAAATTAATAACAATAACCTCAAAAACAAATGTCACAAATGTCAAAAGTGTCAAACCGAACATAACCTCAACACTTCCACTCCGTACAATTTCCCAATTAAATAAGGAATTCTATTTATAATAGATAGTTCGTAATTTCTCACAGATTTATCGCTTTTTTCAAGTGTCGATTTTTTGTAATCTGAGTTATCTCGGTTTCAAACCAAAACAGCTGATTCCAGATTCACGGATTACTAAATTTGGTCATTGTGGAAAATTTTCAGGAATTTAGTAATTTTCACACTGAAAGCTTACCCAGAATTCTCATCGTTTTCTTGCAATTTAACAAGATAAGTCGAATTATGCGCTTTCTGGTCGTCATCGCTCTTCGTATAATTTTCGATCGGTCTTTCGCACACATTATTAAAACTGAAATCGAAACTATCGTCGAGATAATCGTTATTCATCGTGTAAGAATTTTCATTTTCCTTTTGCACTTTTTCTGAACTACTCCACACCTCCATGGCGTTAAAAAAAATAAAACTACCACATTACACATCCCAATGTCGACTTACAAAAACAAAAACAAGCTAATTAAAGAGGTATTTACAAGTTTCTTAGACTTAAGTAAACTACTTGCCCCCTGCTTCGCCAGGGGGTGCTGAATGACTTAAGTCACAAAACACCAAACAACATACCTAAGTGCACCGAAACCGATTCCTCCCACGGATTCATGTGCACAATATCCAGAATATTACAGAACCGTCACACTTATGTCACTGTTATCATATCATATTAAAAACAAACATTATCGCAATTAATTCCATCTAGAGACTTTCGCGGCCACGTTGGCACCAACCTAGTGACTTTCGCCGCTCGCCGTTGGTACGGTCTTTCTGTCTTTCGTCAAATTTACACACGTTGTGAAATTGTCGAATTTGCTCAAATTTTTCGGTTTGAGCCGTTTTTTAAGTAAGTTTGAACGCGCCAAACGTAAACAATGAGTTCCCTGAAGCTCCAGAAACGTTTGGCCGCCTCTGTAATGAGATGCGGCCGAAAAAAAGTGTGGTTAGATCCGAACGAGATCAACGAGATCGCCAACACCAATTCGCGTCAGAACATCCGTAAACTAATCAAGGATGGTCTGATCATCAAGAAACCGGTGGCCGTGCACTCCAGGGCTCGCGTCCGCAAGAACACCGAGGCCAGGAGGAAAGGTCGCCACTGTGGCTTCGGCAAGAGGAAAGGTACAGCCAACGCGCGTATGCCCCAGAAGGAGCTGTGGATCCAGAGAATGCGAGTGTTGAGGAGACTTCTGAAGAAGTATCGCGAGGCGAAGAAGATCGACAGGCATCTCTACCACAACCTCTACATGAAAGCGAAGGGTAATGTGTTCAAGAACAAGAGGGTTCTTATGGAGTACATTCATAAGAAGAAGGCGGAGAAGGCACGTGCCAAGATGTTGAACGATCAAGCTGATGCCAGGAGATTGAAGGTTAAGGAGGCCAGGAAGCGACGCGAAGAAAGAATCGCCGCCAAGAAACAAGAAGTGTTGCAGAATTATCAGCGAGAGGATGAGGCTGCAGCTGCAGTTAAAAAATAGATTTTTATTTTTTAGCAGTGTATGTTTCTTCTGTGTAATAAATAAAAATCTGGTTTCTTATTTTTGGGTTTTATTGATGGTTGAGAATTTTGTAGATAATTATCGAGAACAAAAAGTTACTTTATATTTCTGAATAATATATTTAATCAGGTCATTACTAATGTGTCATTTTATGTTGAGTGTTTAGCTCGCACAGAATATGAAATATAAATTTCTATGGTAAAACAATAAACATGATTTGTCTGTTCTACAACTATTTTACAGTTTTTAAAAATGTGTTTATCGAATTTCTTTAAAATTTTGATGACACCTATACTATTTTCATGAATTTGAGGACTCAATGCTTTCATCTTATAGAATTACATATGTATTATAAATAAACCCATGATTACTAAAAGGGTGAGGGAAGTTCAGTGTTTAAAAATTTTGTAATTTTTTCTTGCCTATTCTAAACACAGAGTTACAAACGTGCAACGAATCATATTTTCAATTTTGAATGAAATAAACGTTTATTAAATGAAGACAAATTTTACTAAGATTTAACAATTCGCCTTTGAATTGGAATTTTTGTGCTTTTGACTAAATTACCAGTACCTAGATCATAAATAGATGACTGAACAGCAAATTTCAAGAAAATTTGTTTCACGTTTTTTTTTTTTATTCACTACGGTTTTTATAAAATCATAGAAAACGATTTTGGTGAGGGTATTTTAGTAGTGCTTATCAGTATTATTGGTTGCCTATACACGAAATTAAAAAATACATTAATATTTTACATACTAAATCCATAGAAATAGACTCAAATATCGGATGTAGTTATTTTAAACACTTTTTTTTACCTATATAACAGTGACTTATTTCCCGAGTGTAAGCTAGGAATGAATTGTATTAGAGTCTATTTGACGCACCATTAATTTCCCGGTTTTCACTACGTTTCATAACCCCTAGAACACGAAAAAGTAAGTCTCACGTCACCGGCTATCTGCCGTCTGTTGGCGAATTTATTAGACAGATAATCTTCGAAACTACTGGACTGATTGTTGTTAAATTTTAAGTATATTTTAGGAATGGTGAAATACTAAACAGAATTTATTTGACCATCCTCACCAACAATTTGATAACGCCATCTCAAAATTTTGTAAAGTAAATCGTACTCAAATGTTATACAGTTAGCTTTTTTACAAATCATGTATTAGTTAGCCCTTATTGTTTACTTTTGACGTTTAAATTTTTTGAGAAAAAAATCAAATTTTTTGTTCATCCACTGCATTTGTGGTCTATCATGTCTGTAATTTTTTTCTTCTTCTAGTTGCCTTTTTTTCGTGTTTTTGTTCCTCTTTTATGTCGCCTTTTATCATTTTTCTATGTCGCATTTTTAATTTTTTTATTGATTAGGTGCATTTTTTAGTTTTTTCTGGCCTCTTGTCGCACTTTTTTTCCATTTTTTTTTCTCTACTTTAACGTTTTCTCGACCTTTCATGACCCCTAGAGTACAAAGAAATAGGTTTCCCGTTTCCCTCTGTCTGTCTATCTGTCCGTCTGTCTACTGTCCCGGATTTTTATTAAACAGATAATAATCTCCGAAAGTATTGGGCGGATTGTTGTCAAATTCTGTATTTACATATATTACGAATATCATGTAGATGGTAAAAGCTAACCAAAATTTGTCTAATCATCCCCACCAATAATGTGATGACGTATCACTTCAAAATGGGTTTTAAATTGTATAAAATAACATAGTCCAACACATGTAGTTTATGACTCCATATAGAGTTTTTAATCTAAGGTTTTCACCCGAAACGTCCAGATTTTTGGAAAAAAAATCAAAATAATAAAACAACATTTTGCATTTTAATTTTGAATCTGCAAAACCGAATGTTTTGAAATCTTGCAGATCTTTTAAAGTTATGATAAGCATGATAAATTTTTATTCAAAATATATTTACTTATCCCCTCTAAAAAATGTATGACGTCAGCTGAGAATTTTACCATATAAATCCTATCTAAATTGTACAAAGTATGATGAGCCTGTACTTGTAATTTATCATTCGATTTGCATATACAAGGTGACTCAAAAAAATTAATGAATGCATGAATTTATTTTATTGATTTAATCAGGAACTAGAAAACTAAGTGCTTTGAAATCTTGGAGATGTTTTAAATTTATCATAGCCACGGTAAATTTTAAAACGTTTTCGTCATCAAAATGTATCTGTTTGTCAACCCCAAAAAATTGATGACGTCATCTCAAAATTTTACCGAATAATTCCTATCTAAAATTGCAAAATATGATCATTCTATGGTTGTAATTTATCATTGCATTCGTATTTTTTAGATTTGCTTATACAGGATGACTCAAAAAATTAATGAATCAGTCAACTCACTTCATTGAATAAATCAATACTTTGAAATCTTGGAGACGTGTTAACGTTATTGTAAGCCTGGTAAATTGTTAATCAAAACATATCTGTTTATTCTCTCCAAAAAATTGATGACGTCATCTCAAAATTTTGCTGAATAAATTCTACTCAAAATGTGCAAAATATCATGAGTTTTTACTTGTATACATATTTTTTAGTTTTGCTTAAATAGGTGGGTCAAAAAAATTAATGAATGAGTCAATTTATTTTATTGACCAGCACCATCTGAGGGTCCGCCCATTCGAATATACTGGATATGTTTCATTGCACTTCAGAAGCGAGGGAAGTTCTGTCGAAACAACTTTCGACCAATTTTTTCGTTTCTTTTCTTTATACGATCTTTTTGTTGGCCCTTTTTTCGTCGTATTTTCTGTCCCTTCTTTTGCCTCCTTTTATCCCCTTTCTTGTTTCATTTTTTGTTCGTCTTTTTTTTGTTGCTTTAATTTTTGTGGATCTTTTTTGTTGTGTTTTTTTGTCTCATTTTTGTCGCCTTTCCTGGCACCTTTTTTATTAATGCTTTTATTTCACTTTTTTTGTTGTTTATTTAATCGCCTTTTTTCGTTTTTTTTGTCGCCTTTTATTTTGTTGTGTTTTATGTATCTTTTTCTCGTATTTTTCTACTTCTTTTTTATTGTATTTTTAGTTCTTTTTTAGTCATTTTTTGGGGGCGGTTTTTGTTTTTTTTGTGTTTTTGTGCGTTTTTTAGTCCCCTTTTTTTGTCGCATTTTTTGTTCTTCGTTTTTATTACTTTTTTGGACTGTCTTTTATGGGTACATTTTATCAATTTTCTTAGCCTTTTTTCTGGTTTTTGGTTTTTCATTTTGTTGTTGCTTCTTTTGTCGTATTTTATATTCCTCTTTTGTTTCCCTCTTTTTCTTCTTTTTTGTAATTTTTGTTAGGCCAATTTTTTCCTCTTCCGTACTTTCTTGTTTTTAGTCACATTTTTTATGGACTCTTCGTTCCTTTTATGTTATTTCCTTTTCATTATTACCTATCCTTGGTCCCATTTTGTTTTTTTTGCTTTTGGTGTAGATTTTTTAATCGCCTTTCTTTCGTTTTTTCGTCACGTCTTTTTTGTCATGTTTTAATATCTCTCTTTTTTTTGTTGCTTTTTTTATGAGCGTTTTTTCACTTTTATTTTACTATCTTTTTTTTAAGTTGCATTTTTTGTGTACTCTTCTTGTTGCGTTTTCTTTCACCCCTTTTTTCTGTGATTTTTTGGTCGCCTTTTTTCATTTTTTGTTGTTGTTTCTTATTTTGTTGTGTTTTATTACCCTTTATTGTGTCCCATTTTTTCTTCTTCATTATTGCATTTTTTGGCGCGCTCTTATTGCTTCTTTTTTCTTTTGAAGCGTTTTTCGGTTTTTGCTGTTTTTTGTACGTTTTTAGTGTCCTTTTTGCTTGTATTTTATCCTCTTTTTTTGCATTTTTTGTGACTTTTTTAGGCTCGTTTTTTCGTTTTTTACTTTCGTTTTGTTTAGTCTCATTTTTTGTGCTTCCTTTTTATCGCATTCACTAGGCCCAGTATTTCAACGGTTTTTTTTTTTACTTTTTTTTATGGTGTTGGTCATTTGTGCGTTTTTTAGTCCCCTTTTTTTTGGCTGCTTCTTTTTGCCGTGTTTTTATAGCCTTTTTTTTGTCGCCTCTTTTTTTGTTGTATTTTTTAGACGCCTTCTTTTTCATTTTTTTAACAAAATATTTTATATCCCCATTTTGTATCTATATTTTGTTTTTTTTTTTAGATTTTTTGTTTTTTTCGCATTTTTATGGTCACTTTTTATTGGGTTTTTGTCACCTTTTATCACCTTTTCCTAAAACCTATTTCAACATTTTTTTCACGTTTCCCTTTTTTTTGACGTCTATTCGCTATTTGAAATTTTTTGTGTTTTAAGTCACCTTTTGTTTGCCGTATTTTTATTCCTCTTTTTTGCACCTTTGTTTTTGTTGTTTCTTTGATACTTTTTTCTTTCTTTTTTACTTTACTTTTTTTTTAGTCGAATTTTTATACCCTCTTTTTGCCGCGTTTGTTTCCATTTTTATAAACTGTTCTCAAGCCTCCTTCCCGTATTTTTAGTTGCCCCTTTTTTTGTTGTGTTTTATACCCCTCTTTTTTTATTTTTTAAGCGGGTCTTCCGTGGTTTTTTACTTTTTTTACGCACCTTATATCTATCGTACTTTTTTGCAATTTTTGTACTCGCTTTTTTTATCGACTTTTTTATTTTTTTTCTGTGTCCATTTTTTTATCTCTATTATCTAGGGTCTAGGGGTTGGCATTAAGAAATAAAGTTCGTACAATCAAATGTTATAATTTATTAAATAACTTCAGGCGCAAGGCAAGTTGTCTTTCAATAATTTTAGAACAATTTTTATTAACTGAAATTTAAAGTAAACACAAAAACCCCGACATCATCTCCACAGTTATTCTATTGTTAGCGTGGTATGGGTTTATTTCGTAACCAGGCGCGGATACAGGATTTCGTTCAGGGGGGGGCAATTTTTGTGCAATTTTACCATCTACCAGAAATTCGTTCTAAACAAAAAAAATTTATAAAATTTTAGCTAGTATACTCTTTTTCACATAACATGGGTGACATTTGGTTCTTTTCATTACACGTATAGTGTACAGTAGAACTTCGATAATCCTAATTAATTGGAAAAAAGGTGTGTTCGGATTAACGATTTGTTTGGATTAGCAATTTTCCCAAAAATCTGAAAGGCAATTGAATAACAACTTCATACACAACTTACTGAAAACAAACTTCAAGAAATAAACCTAAATTTTATTAAACAAAAATTAAAGAATTCTTAAGCAACAGTGGATAATAGATACATTCTAAAAAAATATTACTCCGTGACCATAAACACGCTTTAGATGAATTTTTCAAAAATGAAATTTTCCATTATGTATTCGTATTACCTCCATTATGCAAATTTCGACCCATTCTCGACGATTTTCGAAATTTAACTAAATGTATTTTCTAGTAGATTTTGGACCTCAGAAGTCACTTCTGGCTTCATTTCTTCGATAACTTAAACCATTTTTCCAGAATCGTTGAAATATCGCAATTTTTAAAAATTTCGAAAAATTCGTATTTCGCAGCGAATTTTCCGAAAATATTGCTCCGTTACCATAAACATGGTATATTTTTGGAATCAGCACGTTGGGATATATATCTCTGAATTTTTTCAAAATTTTTAGAAAATTTTTTCGAAAATGAAATTTTTCTCATGCAAATTTCGACCCATTTTCGACAATTTTCGAAATTTAACTAAATACTTTCTCTTGTAGATTTCGGGTCTCCGATAGCTTCATCGGTTTTTCCAGAATTAGTTAATTAATTCAGTGCTTTGAAATATCGCAATTTTTAAAAATTTCAAAATATTACATACAACATATGCAGAAAGATCTTGCGTCATTTTTTGAAGTAGATGCATGTTTTCAAGTTCAGATCGGATTGCAGAGTTTTTGTTCGGATTAAAGAGGCATCGACTTCAAATAGCCTCTGTTCGGATTACTGGATGTTGAGACAATCGTGAGTTCGGATTATAGAGATTGTACTGTATATACAAAATGAAATATGATTTCAAAATTTTGAAACTGGTCAAAATAAAGGACCTCGGTCGTGTGTCAGGGGGGGGGGGGCAATTGCACCCATTGCCCCCCCCCTGGATCCGCGCCTGTTCGTAACACTATATTTGAATGTATGGAAAGTGTTAACGAGAGAGGAAGAAGGTTAAAAAAAGGAAGAAAGATAAGTACTAGATTTTTAATAAGTTATAATTATACCAACATGAAGAGACAATTATTTACAATTTTTTAACAATAAATTTGTCTTCCCTAAAAAGCGACTTGGAATGATATCATTTTTTACGCTTCTTATTTTTATTTATCTATCCATAATTCCGTAGGGATTAAACCACCGTTAATCATAATTTTACGACATCAATATAGGGATATGACAAAAATTTATTTAAATAAAATAAAACAATAAACAAGTAATAAAAACATCTTAAAATCATTAAAACATGACAGCTGTACTAAGACAATTTTTTTGGTTCTTAAAGTTAAACACACTTTTCTCAAGATGGGGGGATTCTTCAGAACTGCAGGTATTTTTCTACACATTAAAAATAGTACATTTTACAAATTGTTTTATGTTTTAGCAATTACACAAAAATGGTCGAATTATAGGGGGTCAGGAAGCGAGAGCTGGTCAACTGCCATTTGCTGCTGCCATTTACATCACCACCAGCGACGGTTCATACTTTTGTGGAGGCACGCTAATAAGTGACCAATGGATTTTAATTGCCGGTCAGTGTGTTAACAGGTTCTCAAAAAGATTAATAAAAATACTAGCGACAGTTTAACATTTACTATTATGTTTTTGTAGTGCAATTTTATTAACTATCCATTTAGGAGCTACAAACTTAGTTGGAGATGACCCTAATCGTATAATTGTCGCTACTTCTGAATACATTATCCACCCAGATTTTAATTCTGAAACACTCGACAATGACATAGCTCTTATTAAACTGCGATTACCCATTGAATTTACTGGTCAGTCTTTTTTTATAATAATCTATCACCGGAAAAAATATCACTTGCAGGTTATATCAAACCAATTGATTATTTGGCAACCCATACGCTACCGGTTGGTGACAGAAGCGTTTCAATTGGTTGGGGCCACACAAGTGACGGTATGAACACAAATATTCGCTTTTTTATTAATTCCACAGAAAAAAGTCCTCTAGTAGGCCATGAAATTTAGTTTTAAAATAATGATGTTGGCGACACTTGTTCCTTGTTCGATTTGACAGTTATGACAGTCAATATCAGTATTTTAAAAATAAATTTCAACATTTTTCTGTGTAGAAGCAGCAGAACTTTCCAATCAATTACAATGGGCCAATGTGATAAGCATATCGAACGATCAGTGTAAAATATACTACGGCAACCAAATTACTGAAACCATGGTCTGTATTGAAGGGATTTATTACAATGAGGGCACATGCATGGTAAAAAAACACTTCTCTTTAATTTAGTTTTAAATAAATGTTTTAGGGTGACAGTGGTGGTCCCTTAATACAATATGTCAGACAATATCGGTACCATGCTGGTGTTGCAAGTTTTTACAGTGCAAATGGGCGTGAAAGTACCGACCCATCTGGTTACACAAGAACATACCCATATGTAGAATGGATCAAAAATATAACTGGAGTAATATAACCCCATTTCGGTTTTTACACTTTTATTGAAAATATTGTAATATTACAACATTATTGGGTCTTGGCAGCCAATCTCTTGTCCCTTTCTTCGGCAATAGTAAGTTTGACTCCTTTCCCTCTCGGCAGAGAAACATACGGTTTGCTACCTTTTCCAATGATAAATACGTTATTTAACCTGCAAACACACAAAACCCACAATCAACCACCTCACTTCATGCATATATTTTAAAACAAATGTCTTCTGTTTGGGTAATACTGCAGAACCATAAATCGGCTAACCAGTGACCAATTACAGAAATTTAATTTAGGCCTCATTTTGACTGCATTTTGTCACAGTCAACAAAACGCAGCTTCGATAGGGCCCCACAAACCTCAAAAACTTACCTAGTTGCAAATGTGTGGCCATTTGCATCCTTAATATGCACGATATCGAACGACCCTGGATGGCGCTCCCTACTCACGACTGTACCAACACGCCCCAAGTTACGACCTCCAGTAATCATGCACAGATTGCCAGACTCAAATTTGATAAAGTCCAAAATTTTGGAAGTCGCGATTTCCAACTGGATGGTGTCGTTGACCTTGATCATGGGGTCTGGGTAGCGGATGGTGCGGCCATCGCGGGTAACCAGGAAGGGAATTCCCTTAGGGCCAGTTTGCACTCGCTTAACTTTGCACAGCTTGTACTAAAACAAAAAATTCTATAAAATCTGAGTAAATTTTCATGTGGAATTGTGTTGAAATTAACTCAGATGAGTAAGTGTTTGCTCATTTTAATCACTTTTGAGGAGTGGAACTCAACCCATGTGCCTTTGTTTTTCTCATCACAAAATCTACAAAATAATTAGTTATGCAGTAACTTACTTTAGCTTCTTCTCCCGTGATTCTGTGAATGGTGAAACGTCCTTTAACGTCATAAATCAAGCGGAAGAATTCTCCCGTTTTCTCAATAGTGACCACATCTGCAACACCCCATATTCACACCATCCAACACAACAAAAACACACTTACCCATAAAACCAGCTGGATAGTTAGGGTCTGTCCTTACTTTTCCGTCGACTTTGATCAATCTCTGCATTACGATTTTAGTCACTTCTGAATTGGTCAAAGCGTATTTCAACCTGTTTCTCAGGAAAATTACCAAAGGTAAAGACTCCCGCAGTTTGTGGGGGCCAGTGGATGGACGAGGAGCAAAAACGCCCCCCAATTTGTCCAACATCCATGCTTTGGGCGCATTGAGACGCTTCAAGTGCTTTTTGGGACCTCGCGCCTAAAATTTGAGGTTATGTATAAACAAAACTTATCAACGAACAATAACTGCACAAATATGAAAAAGTCGTACTTTTATAGTGTAAAACAACCACAAAGCGAGCCATGACAAGACCTTTGAGCACTATTAAAAGTAAACAACAATTAGAAAACCTGCGTGTTTTGGAAGTTGACATGTCAACTTTTTTATCAATTATTTCGTTTATGTGACTAGATCTGACAAAAATATCGGATCTGATGGCAATAAGTTAGTTTAGGGTTTGATTTTGTGGCGGTTTTGGTTGATTTACACTATAAATAACTACGATGATTGATAATTTTTAGAAAAAGTATCCCGGACTCACCATCTTGACACTTTCGGCGGATGAAAAGAGCTGTGTTGGTAAGGTAGAGCGTGAGAGTGTCAAGTGCGGCTGGCGCCCTCTAGTTGAGTTTACAGGGCGGGAAATTCAAAATTCGTTTCTTTTTAGATGTTTATTATTATTTAAAAACCAGTACATATTATTCAACCTCATTACAAATTATTAAAATATAAAATAATTCGTAGCATACAGATTACAGGAAATTCGTAAGCCAGTTGGTTCAGAATCATCTGTCTCTGGGACTGTACAATCAGAAACTGTAATGACACGATAGGCCAAGTTACCTCCTGAACAAATTCGTTCATAGCATTTGCCAAACGTTGATGTTACAATAAATGTTACAACAAACAAGATAAAAACAACGTTATCAGGAAAAATACATCAGTTTACTAAAAACATAACAAATATTTCAACTTACAGTAACAAAATGTTATCCTAGACTACAGCATGACCCTGAATAGTCATTGATATTTTTCATTGGCTTTGAAAGTTATTAATAAGGAAGATTCTTTTGCGTTTTTGTTATCAATAGAAATACTTGGCTGTGGCACAAATCAACTTTATAAATTCACAAATCACCAATGAAAACAATTTATATCCTAATATCACTTTTCAAAATTTTTGAATTGCCACCTGTAGTGTCAATTTTTGAGAATAATGTTAATCTAAAAAACACCTAAATCTAAACTAAATAGTCTTTAATCAGTAATTTCTAGTGTTATTGAATGTAACAAATCGCAATCGGCTACAACATTTCAATTGAACAATTGAAATGGTGTTACAAATAAAATTGTGTGAATATAAACTATCAAAGACGTTATTTAAAGCTATTTTTATTATTGCATGATTAAAATATTGTACGAATATTAGAAATAAAAGTTGGCAGAACGCGGTGTACAAAAGTGAACAAAACCTAAAAGATTACATCAACAAATTCTGTCACATTCTCTTAACGAAAGTTTATATATCACAAACATTGTGAAAATTGTTGGCAATGTTTCGACATGGCATAAGTCCTGTGACAAATAATTTGCCTTACTAGTTGAAAAATCACTTATGAACATTTAAATATGGAAATATTCTTAGAGCTAACCATAATAAAGCTCCCTTTACATTATACATCATTAAGTACACATATTAAAAGCAAAGCAGATCCTGAAATCAATGAAAACACAGCTGCCCAAATCGAAAATTCAGTAATATCTAAACAAGGAAAAACAATGTATCCAATAGCTTCACAGTAACACCATGTAGTTTTATTAAATTTATTTGTTTAGAACTTGAAGCTCTTATACAAATAACATGCAGAGAAATCCAACAAATCTTTTCACCACCTGGAAAAAAAAAACTTCAGTAGTTAGTGTATATTGTATGGCAAAGTCTCTACCTTATTCTTATTCCTTAGTGATTGAAGTATCCATCGGACTAGCTGGTTGTGGTGCTGGAAGCGCCGGTTTGATGAATCTTTCGCTAGTCCTCCTGTGGGGAGGAGCTGGAGGGCTGCTTGAACCTACGTTGTGTAATGCAGACGACACGCAAGCCGATGTCAGTAATTGACCACAAGCTGGGCAACGAGGGGGGCCACCCACGACGAGCGAGTCTCGAGGTGACGGGGCTTGCATCGAAGACAAACCTACAAAGAAAATAAATATACAGTTTGGATAGGATTCTTTGATAATATTTTTTTGTGAAAAAACATTGAAAAAAAAATCATCTAGTAAGCCATGAAATTTATTTTTAAGATGTTGGTATCGCAGTTGACATTTTATTTGAGTTATGTAAATGTCAAATTTACTGCCACATAATTTTGAACATTTTTTGTATGCTTCATTTCTGATTGTACCCCATAAATCATGTTATGGTATTATGATTTTGAAGGGCAACAAGTTAGCCGGAGATATATATAGAACCCCCTTTTCCTACCTGTCCATCCTAATCCCTCTGAATACCGCTTTCACCAACCCTCCGGGTCTTTCCCAAAACTTTCTAGATTCCTTCCAGGAAAACTGACCACCTGTGCTCATATTTTTTACCTTCAACCGTTCGTCCCAAATCTCTGAATTTCTCTCTTCTCAACAAACTCTCAACTCGAAAACATCAAAGTAAAAATTTAGCCCAGAAAGACTGACATTTTTTTGTAATGTAGATTTGCCTTTTTTTGCAGAGTGGTGGGGCGTTTTCGTTGCTCACTGTAGATTCAGATTCATTCAGTCAGTAGCAGTATGAGGACGCAAATCTACAGTGTTGAAGTCACATGTGTTTGAGACTTGGACGTTTCATTTTATTTGGAAAATTTAACCAAAAGGCAAATCCGCAGTACCATCATTACTCAGGTGTAAGTAAAGTTTACTATGATTTTTAATTAATAATTCGTCGATCTCACGCCAGTCGCGACGTTCAGAAATTCGACACATTGCGTCATTGATTGTTTAAACTACAGTTGTTTGTTTGTTATTTAATTTCACGAAATCTATAAATTATACATTTTATTTTCTTGTGTAACAAAAAAAAAAACATTGAACTTGAACGCACCTCTCAAAGCGATGTGCATATCGAACGACATTTTAGTCTTTTAGACCATATTTAACATGTGTTTTATGTATTTACTATTTGTGTTGGGGAATTCGTTCCACGATGTACTCGTTTCATTAGTTTTGCTTTATTGAATTTGGTTGGCGAGTTCGATCTAAGTGTAGATTGACAAATTTTTCCTGTCATTCATTTGACTGTAAAAAAAGAAAGAACTTAATCAAATTATTCCCTCCATAATTTTGTGTCGTTAAATTCCAGGTCACTTTTCCACCTTTTGCATCAAAACGCATTCCGCCATTACAAAAACACAACGCAGGGTGCCATCTTATTGACAGTTCATGGCCACTTTTTGAATTTTCGCGGGTTTTTCAAATTTTGTTCACATGTCAATTTTTATAGGAATGTTTGGGTTATTACATTATGAAAATTAAAATTAGAAGACCAGTCAACCGACAACATTCCCTAGAGAGATTTTTGGTGTCAAGAAGTATAAAAAAAATTGAGGTTAGGATCATATAGTTTTCATTTAAGACGTTTTTTTTATTTGTGCTCACAAAAAAAAATCTCAGCACTTCCTACTTTAAATCACTCCAAAGAAAACATGTTTTATTTGACTAAAAATCAGAAATACTAAAAAAAAAAAAACGCAAACAAATTATACAAATTTTCCATTTTAAATGTTTTAAGTTTCATGTTGTGAAAAGACGTCTACACATATTAAAACAAAAAGGCAAAATGTAACCCCGCCCACCCGCCCTATCTCAATTGTGATGATTTTTTTTTATTCGCCGTGAACCAAGGGGGCGGAGCTTAACTGCAAAATACTTATTTCATTACGAGGAATTAAAAACATGTTTTTGAGTATCGTGTTATCTAAAGAATACTATGCATGTTAAGAAAAAAAGACAAAATGTAAACCCCGCCCACCCACCCCATCTCAATTGTGATGATTTTTTTTATTTAAAATGGTTAATTTTTGTAAGGAAATATAGATTTTGCAATTATGCTCCGCCCCTAGGTGTGTCAACGAATGAAAACTTCATTACTATTTAGATCAGGGCAGGTGTGGGTGGGGCTTAATCTTTGGCTTGAATTTTTTCTTAATATACATAGTATTCTTTGAATAATACAATACTCAAAAAATGTAAATAACAATTGTATTTAAATTCCACTCCTTTGGTTCTCGACGATAAAAAAAATCATCACAATTGAGATAGGGCGGGTGGGCGGGGCTTATATTTTGCCTTTTTCCCAATATACGTAGTCGTCTTTTCAGAACAAGAAACTTAAAACATGTTTAAAATGGTAAATTCTTGTAGACAAATATGGATCTTGCAATTAAGCCCCGCCTTTCGATCTGACCACCAATGAAAAATTCGTCACAATTGAGAATTGAGATCGGCGCAGGGTGGGGCTTAATGTTTGGCTTCATTTTTTTATTGATATACATAGTATTCTTTAAACAACACGATACTCAAAAACACATTTTTTAATTTCTTGTAGAGAAATAAGGATTTTGCAGTTAAGCTCTAAAATACAAAAATTCAAAAACCGAAAATTCGGAAAATCGAACATTTGAACAATTGAAAACATGAAAAATTGAGAAATTGAAAAGGAAGCAAATCGAAAAAACGAATATTGGAAAATCGAAAATTCGATGAATCACATATTCGAAACAATGAAAGTCTGAGAAAACGGAAAACCGAAAATTCGAAAAACTAAAAATCGAAAATGAAAAAACCAGAAAACCAAAAAAACGAAAATCGAAGATCCTAAAATCGAAAAATCGGTAAATCGAAAAAAGGAAAAATTGAAAATTCGAAAAACGAAACAACTGAGAAATCGAGAAATTAGAAATCGAAAAATTTGAGAAAATGAAAAATTTTAATATAAAAAAAAAATGAAAAATTGAAAAACCGAAACAGAAATCTCGAGCAGTCGAAAAATTGAAAATCGAAAAATCAAAAATTTATAAAATTTGAAAATGGAAAATCGAGAAATCAAAAAATCGAAACATCGAAAAATCCAAAATAATGAGAATTCTAAAATTTAAAAATTAAAAAATTGAAAAATAGAAATGTCGAAGGAATAAAAAATCGAAAAATTTCGAAATCTAAACATCTAAAATTTTAAAAACCGAAAAATTGAAAATTGGAAAACTTGTAAAAAATCGAAACATTGAAGGGTCGATAAATCAAGAAATGGGAAAATCAAAAAATCGACACTTATCAAAAATCGAAAAATAGAATATTCGATGAATCACATGTTCAAAAAAAACGAGATCCGAGAAAACGGAAAACCGAAAATTCGTAAAATCCAACAATTAAAAAACAGAAAAAACGAAATTTCGTAATCCGAAAAATCAAAAATTCTAAAATCGAAAAGCCTAAAATGGAAAAACGACAAATCAAGAAATCCAAACATGGAAAATTGAAACTGGAAAAACTGAAAAATCGAAACATTTTAAAAATTAAAAAATTGGAAAACTGAGAAATCAAAAAATCGAAATCGAGAAATCGGAACACCAAAATACTGAAAACTCTACAATTTAAAAATGAAAAAAATTGAAACATTGAAAATCTAAGAAATGAAAATCGAACAATTGAGAAATCAAGAAAATCGAAAAATTGGAGGATTGAAAAACTAAAACATCGAAACATTGAAAAGTCGATACACCAAAAATGGGAAAATTAAATAAAAGAAAAATTCGAATGTATGTCGAAAAATCGAGAAATCGAAAAGTCGAAAAATAAAAAAATCGATTAATGGAGAAATTGAGAAATCGAAAAATCGAAAATTTAAAAACGTCAAAAACTGGAAAATCCAAACATTGAAAAATCGTAAAACTGAAACATCGGAAAATTGAAAAATCGAAAATTCAAAAACCAAACTTTGAAGTTCTTTAATTAGACTCGAAATGTAATTAAAGTGATTAAAATTTTACCCAAAACGTCCAGATTTAAGCAAAAAGACTTCCAAATAAATACCTAATAAAAGTTATAAAAACCTAATAATAATTATATAATTTTTATTAACAAAAAAAGTACCTATTTAATATTTTTCTCTTGAAAATATGTTTACTTCTAATTGCAATTTGTTTTTTTAAAGAGTGTGAATAAAATTCAGTACTATTCCGTTGGTAGGCAAATATACATTTATAAATACACTGCCCAACAAAAAAACGCGGACACTTGAATATTTGTAAATTTACGCTAATTTTACTTTTTTTCTGTTTTCACATGTGTCCGGGTTTTTTTGTTTGGCAGTGTATAAAATAATACCACAATAACACGTTGGTAAGCGAAGAAAGATAAGCGGGCTCGTCGTCTAGTGGTCAAGATACCTGCCCGGCAAGCGGGTGACGTGTGGTTCGATTCCCACCGAGGTAGCGACATTTTTCTTCGCTTACCTTCAAATCTTTATTTAATAAATTTATTTTTCGATTTCTCAATGTCTCAGTTTTTGAATTTTTTGATGTTTCGATTTTTAGATGTGTGGATCTAACCTTTACCTTTCGGCTTTTCTATTTTTCGATGTTATGATTTTTGAATTAGCCGATTTTTCAATTTTCCAATTTTTTATATTTTCGAGTTTGATTTCCCGATTTTTTTGATTTTTTGATGTTCGGAATTATTCAATTTTACGATATTTTAATTTTTCAATGTTTTAAATTTTAGATTTTTCGATTTTTCAGTTCTTCAATATTTTTTAATTTTTCAAATTTTGACGTTTCTAAATTTTCAGTTTTCCGATTTCTGAAATAATCTTTTTTTTATTTTCTCATTTTCCGACTTTTCAAAGTTTCAATTTTTTTCAATTTTTCAATTTTGTAAGCTTACGATTTTTCGGCTTTGCTTCTTTAGTTTTTCAATGTCTCAATTTTTAAATTTTTTAACTTTACAATTGTTTGGATATTTTTTCTGTTTTGGGATTTTTCAATACTTCGATTTTTCGATTTTTTAATTTTTTATTTTAAATTTTTCGTGAAACTTTGGATTTTTCAATTTTTCGAATTGTTTATACTTCGATCTCCCAATTTTTCAACTTTTCGATGTTTTAATTTTTCAATTTTTAACATTGCAAGTTTTTCCATTTCTCGGGTTTTCAGTTCTTCTTCGTCTGAATTTTTCAATTTTCCGAATTCTTTAAATTTTCGATTTACCAATTTTTCTTTTCTAAATTTTTCGATTTTACAATTTTTGATTTCTCGATTTATCGAATTCAGATGTTTCGATATTTTGATTGTTCAATTTCTCGATTTTTCAATTTTTCAATTTTTTACATTCTTATAAGCATGAAATAGCCCACTAATAATGTTTTAAATTTTAGATTTTCTTTCCTCGATTTTTTCATTTTTCAGTCATTCAGTATCTCTAACTTTTAATTTTTCAGTTTTCCGATTTCTCAATTAATCTATTTTTGATTTTCCTGTTTATAGACTTCTTCAATTCTTAGATTTTTCGACTTTGCTTTTTTGGTTTTCGATAATTTCTCAATTTTCCAATTTTCTAATTTCTCAATTTTTGGATATTGTTTTCACCTTTAGGGTGTTTCAATATTTCGATTCATCGACTTTTCGATTTTTGTTTTTTGAATTTTGAGTTTTTCGTTTTTTAAACTTGGGATTTTTCAATTTTTGAACTCCTGGAATTTGTTTGATTTCTTTTAATTTTTCAACTGTTTTATACTTAGATTTCTCAATTTTTCAACTTTTCGATGTTTTAATTTTTTAAATTCGAAGTTTTTCGATTTCTCGAGTTTTCAGTTCTTCCAAATCAATTTTTCAATTTTCTGACATTTTAAATCTTCAATTTTCCAATTTTTCTTTTTTAAAATGTTTCGATTTTTCAATTTTTTGATTTCTCGATTTATCGAATTCAGCTGTTTCGATGTTTTAATTGTTCAGTTTCTCGATTTATCAATTGTTCAATTTTTAACTTTTTTTCTCGGCTTTTGACTCCTCGTTTTCTGGGTCCTCTGATTTTTCGATTTCTCGATGTCTCAGTTTTCCAATTTTTCAATGTTTCGATTTTTCAGTTATCCGATTTTTCAATTTTTCAATTTTTTAAATTCTTATAAGCAAGAAGTAGCCCTGCCCACTCATCCCTTCTTCATTCTAATGACGACTCTTGATATTGTTCAGTTTTATCTTAGCAAACTTGAGCCCCGCCCACCCACCCTATATTTTCATGAAGGGTATATCATTGTCCAAAATGAGTCTTGTCTTATCTTAACAAGTACTAGGCCACATCCACCCGCCCTTTATTTTCTTAGAGGCTGTCATTTTCCAAAATCAATAATATCTTAGGCAGTACTAGCCCCGCCCACCAGCCCTCTATTTTCTTAGAAGGTTTATCATTTGACGATCTTATCTTCACAGGTACTAGCCCCGCCCATCCACCCATTATTTTCTTTGAAGGTACGTCTATTTTCCAAAATCAGTAATCTTAGGCAGCACTAGCCCCGCCTACACCTCCTCTACTTTCATTTGTGAAAATCAGTGTCTTATTTTAACAAGTAGTAGCCCCACCCACCGGCCCTCTTTTTTCTTAGAAGGTGTGTCATTTTCCAAAATAAGTCATATCGTAAGAAGTACTTGGCCCGCCCACCCGCCCTTTATTTTCTTAGAGTATTTATCATTTGCAAGAATCAGCCTTACCTTAACAAGTACTAGCCCCACCCACCCGCCCTGTTTTTTCTTAGAAGGTATGCCATTTTCCAAAATCAGTCATACCTTAAGAAGTACTAGCCCCGCCCACCCGCCCATTATTTTTTTAGAGGATTTATCATTTGCCAAAATCAGTTTTATCCTAGCAAGTTTCTACGCTTGACATCCCAATTTTTGGAAAAAAAACAAAGCTGTATAGCAACGTTTTACGATTTATTATACCAAATAGATGGAAAAATTTGGTCAACCCAAAGAAGTTAAGATTTTATTACAAAGTGAGGGCTACCATGTTTCGGTACTTACTGGTACCATCACCTGATCACATTATCTGACTTAGTTTTGAAACAGAATTTCTTTAAGTTTAACAATACTTTGTATGAACATACTGGTTTAGCAATGGGATTTTCCCTATCTTCATTTTTAGCAGAAATTTTCAAGAAAAATATTGAAACAAAAAAGAATCCTCCATTTACATAAAAATTACATTCTCTCAACTCAGAACAATTTTATCAATCCTATCCATCCTTTAATAAAAATCACATACGAAATCGAAACTGATAATTCCATTCGAGTTTTTTTGACTTAATTGATTTATTTTCTTATTCTTTAAATCTCTAAATTATTCCACATTTCCCGAAGTTATGAAGCCTTTGAGAGTGAACTTGGTATCACTAAACAAATTTCCATTAATAATAAATTTCCCTCAGTCATGAACACAAACTCTCCTTTGGTTTTCTTTCTGTCCGTTTTCAAAATTTTCAAAAAACTAGATTATAACATTAATATAACTAATAATTACTAAATACGATTTTATTGATTAAATTCGCGGTCTGCCAAATGGTGTCAATAAGTTTTTTTTTTTTTTTTTTTATTTAATTTTATATTTCCACATTACCCCGGTACGTGATGCCGTGGTTACAATTATTGCATATATTTCGAAATCACCCTGTATATATTAAAAATATTACAATGACTTTGTAGTAATAGTAAAATAGTACGTAGTCTTGCTCTACCATGGACTAGAAATTTAACAATTATAGAACTCATTGTCCCAGACGATTTGTGTAAAATCGAATTCGTTGTCATAAGTTAGAAAAATCAGCCGAGAAGGTTAATAATAATAACTTTATTCCCCCTATACAAACCTGGACTGAGCGGACGACTCTGACTGGGCGACGGATTGTACGGAACGGGCGAAACCGTATGCTGCCTGGCCCCCAACACCTGCTCGTTGTAGTGCCTCTCCTCCTCCATCTCCAGCGAGCTTTCGCTCTCCGACAGATGTCTGCACAGCGCCTCGCGCCTCTCCACCTCCAGCTGCAGCTTGCGCTGCAACCTGAGGTTCTCCTCCTTGATGTTACGTTCCTCTTGGGCGTATCTCTGCATCTTCTGGGTGTGCTCCTGCTGGCTGATGGCCAACGTCTGCCTTAGCCGCGCCACCTCCGAGCGCAGAGTCTGGATGTGGGCGCTGAGATTGGTGGCGGTGTCGCCGTTGTTGATGTCGCGTGGACTCGCCGGGTCGGACACCGGCTGGTCGAGCTTTATTTGGAGCATGCGCTTTTCGGCCTCGAGCTTGTCCATCCGCTTCCACAGCTTGTTGACGAGGGCTTCCTGTTCTTGCTCGAGGGTGTTCTCGAGTTCGACCTGGAAAGAAATCGCAGTTTTGGAATGGACAGATAAATTTTGATTCACGATTTATCGTTGCCACCGATAACGATCTGTCTGTCTGTCTGCATGTCTGAATGCGATAATCTCAACAACTACTGTACGGATTTTCATGCGGTTTTCACCAATAGATGGTGATTCACGAAGTGAATCATTTATGCAGGTTTTGTGTAAATTGGTTGGAATATGCTAATAATTCTCGGCAAGTCGGAGAAAATCAGTCAATTTTAGAAGTCAATTGACGTATTTTAATACACAGAATTGAACAGTGTTTGTAATATTTTTTATCTTTACAAACAAATTTTTTAATAAAAGTTCTCTTATGTTATTTAATTATCTGTTGATAAATCATTATGTAAGTTTATTAGCAGTTATAAGCAGAAAATTTTTATCGCAATAAAAACAGTCAATAAAGATAGTATAATTCTTAGAATGTTGTAACAATTTTATATAAAAAGCAATAAAAAAAATGTTTATATTTTTAATTCATAATTTATACCAGTAGGGCGTGAGTGACGTAGACCACTTAATTAAAAAATAATAAAAATTAAACTTAATGTTGATTATATCAGATTCTAAAAACGCCGCGTCATGATGGTTATGCTTGCCAACAAATGACAGATGTTCCTTGGTATTTAAGACACACATTTGCAGTCACATGAAAAAACAATACCTCTGGTATTACTCACTTTCTACAATTACCCAAATGTTAGTGTTACTTTGGTTATTTCATACCCACTGACCAACCCACCTTTACTTAATTTCGTACCTATGTATTACTAATAATAAAAAAATTCCTATAAACTGCGTAAAATTCTTCCTGACCTACTTACCTTCTCCCGACGCAACTGCTCTAAATTACTCTGTTTGGCAAGAGTTTCAGCCTCAAGTTTCTCGATTTTCCTCATTAGACGGTTGACAAGGCACTCTTGTTCCTGTTCTAAAGTTTGTTCAAGCCGACACTTCTCCTGCCTCAGCTGAGTCAGTTTCCTCGACAAATCGTTCGTGAGACACTCCTCCTCCCTCTCATAATGATGCGCCAACGACTCCTTCTCCTTCTTCAGCGCCTGAATCTTCTTCAGCAACGTGTTAGAAATAAACTCCTCTTCTTGCTCGGCCTTCGCTTGCTGCAACCCCACATTATCAAAAACCCCACTCAATAAAAAGACTCACTATGATGACCGAAGCCTGGCGCAAGCCCCGATTTTCCTCCTGCAAGGCCTTCACCCTCAGCTTGTACGTCTCCAGCTCCACCTTCAGCACCCGGTTCTGCTGCTGGAGACTTTCGATTCGCTTCTGCAGTTGCTCTCTCGTGATGGGGCTCGGAGGCATCATGATGGGGCCGCCGTCTATGCTGCTCGAATCAGATTCGCTCGCTGAATCGGCCATATCTTTAAACAGAAGTTACCGCAACGGGATTAGTGTACGAGTGGCAAATCGGCGGATTTTTTTCACTCATCAACAAATTTTTTAACGCATTTTTTAGTTCAGGGCTGGGTTAGCGGAAGGTGGGGGGGTGGGATTGTTATTTTTTGGGTAAATGTGCAAGTTCACACCTTTGTTGCTTCACTGTAACTAAAAAATTAAACAATTAGCAATAAACATGAGGACAGATGACAATTTTCGGTTTCGTTTCTTGACAGCCGCCATAAACAGTGCTGCCAACGGGGATTGGGTCGGTAGGAGACCGGCAAGGGGTTTTTCGGTAAAAAGTGGGCAATGTGGGGGCGCCAAAAATAGAAATGAGCAATTATCATTTAGAATTGCGGCATTTGCTGTGTTTATTTGCGTCTTAAAGGCTTTTTTTTAGGAGTTTTGAGGTAGACGGTGTTAGTGATTTTGGCGCTTTAAGTTTTAATCATGGTTTAGTAATTTGTTGATAGGCAAATATGCCAGGGTTGGATTTGCGACTTTTCACTTCACCATAATAATAAAAACGCTACAATTTTTGAAACTTAAACATGTTTGATTCTTTTATTGGCAGCAAAGTTTATAAGAATACATTCTGGTTACCATCCATATTAATTTGTGACTTATTTATTAAGAAACAAAATTAAATTAATATTTTAAGGCATTTCTTCTAACTTAAAGTCTAATAATCGCTGGACCCTGGCAAGCCTCTGGATAAGCGCTTGATATTAAAGTGCACACAACTCTTCTAAAGTCAACAAGGCTTGCATCTTGAAGATCTTGATTAAATTGCTAAAAAATATAAAATATAGAGAGGACAAAAAATAAGTACATAAGTCAATCAAAACCACCAAAGTCACTACAAAAAAATTCCTGATTAGACTAAGATTAAAAATGACCAATCAAATTAAAGCTGAAAGTACACTTACGCCGTTATATAAAATGGTAGGGACAAATTTGGGCGACACTTTAGCCGTCACTTCTTCCGCCAAAAGCTGAAGTCGTGTCCCAAGAGCTGAAGAATAACACTCCGAGATTTGGTTAAAATCAACGCCTGCAGCCTCAGCACACTGGAAAATTCAATAACTTTCTTATTTCGCAAATTCTAAAAAAAAAAATATATACCGTTTGACCGAATTCTTGCTCGTTTCTCTGTTCTTTTCTAAAAGTCTTCATAAAGCAGTTAACATAATCAACTTGGACGCTTTGGTCCGGGATTGTGTTAAGCACGCAGGACTGGATTTTGTTACCTTTGCACTCTTGAGGACCATGTTGGCAGACGAAATGAGCCCCATTTTCTAAACTCTTAAATAAACGTAAAAAACGAAATATAACACTAGATACTTACGGCACTTTTACCAAAGGGTGTCAATTTCAGGTCGACGTAAGGCGCTAATTCCTTAAAAACTGGATGGAGCTGTTGCGTAATAAAGCTCAGACTGTCCGGACATAAAGATTCATATAAAACCTCCACGTGTAACTGGTGATAAAAACTTGCATAGTTATGTAAATGAGCTTTAGAGAAAACAAACTTACTTTAGCTTGACAGTTTAAATGGTTGACCAACGCGAAGCAGAAAATAAGTGAGAGGTAAAGTTTACACATGTTGAGAGTGTCAGAGGTGAATTTCGAATAACAAGGTATTTTTTAAGGAGATACAGAGAAGAGAAAGTCTTGATATGGAATTAACTAGCCCGCATGACGACACAAAGTTTCCTTGTCTAACAAACCAGTAAATGCTAATTGTAGGTGGCTTAATTTACTATAAAACCTTGAATTGGGAACATACTTAATTTAAATGTTGTTTTTTTCAACATTGATGCCGTATACTGTTTTTGTGAACGGTGGTTTGTGGCTATTTAAACTACGCTGCGGTATTTATAATTACATATACAAAGTGAGTCACTAAACACATGCCCCAATATTATATTATTTCTTAAAAAAAAATAGACTAAAGTCGTATGGTTCTTAGGTGGTTATATTTAATTAAATATTAAATTTCTGTATTCAATAAAAAAATTAAAATTTTACTAAATAAAGCTACTCTAGTTTTATTAAGAAAGAATTATATAGATGTTTAATATTTTTCTCTTGTCAATATGTATAGTTCTAATTACAGTTTTTTTAAGAATGTGAATAAAATTCAATGCTCTTCCGATAGTAGGGAAATACACTTTTTATTGGTAGATATATTTTTTTATTTTTCTTTTTTATTATATCTATTCAGTTTATTAGAACATTCACTAATAAACTATTTGCTAAAGAAAGATCTATGCGAGGGGCTATTAGACTCCTCCGCCTCCTCAGTGCGGGTTTCCATAATCCTTAAACACTTAGATTGAATAAAGTAGACAAGGATCAAAATTGTCTGGTTTGATTATAGAAAATTTTGAATTGGAAACGAGAACTTTTAAGATAATATTTTAAATTAAACTATAGAGTCATTTTTTAAGAATTAACCTTTAGTTATCAAAATTATTAAGAGTAGAGTTTAGATAGGAAAAAAATACAGAAAATTAAGACTTCGTCACAAAATTTTCCCGAATAAATGTTATTTAAATTTTTTAGAATAACATACGTACATCTGCACTGGTGATTTATAATTCCGTGTTGAGTTCTTATTCGAGATATCCAGATTTTTGGGAAAAAAAAACTATATATATATCAATATTTATACTCCTGCAGTTATTGTGGTTTATGAGTTTGTGCTCAATTTTTAATTTTTTACCCTTGACATTTAAATTTTTGGAAAAAAATCAAAACTGTATCACAAATCACAAATTGTTTTAAATTTAATAAAGACATTATTTAAATAAATTGTACTACTAACAAACATTTAATATGGCAGCATTTAAAGTACGTTACTTTGTCAGTGTGAGGATTTTCAAGTGATTCTCGATTTGATGTTTAACACACAAAGAAGAGGAAAAAATAAATAGTTTTTTTACGATATTTTTCTGTCACATTTTTATGGTTGATTGTATAGCCCCTAGAAAGTACATATTTCTAGGGGCTATAGTTGACTGAATGGTTTTCAGGTTTAGAACATGAAAAAAGCTGCAGTTTGATGTATAATATATACATCTGTGGCGACACAATAATAAGTAGTAGTAAGCGAAAAAAGATAAGTGGCTCTGTAGTCTAGTGGTCAGGGCACCCGCCCGGCAAGCGGGAAATGTGTGGTTCGATTCCTACCCATTGTTATACAAAAAAGGAAAAAATTGTTATACCCCCTCTGGAGAGTGTTTCCTTGCGGTCTTGGTAATCTATAAATCTTTCTGAAATATTGGTTCCCTATCTATCAGGCGGAAACACGCTGAAATAGATTTAAGAAAGTTAGGTTATGATTGACATTTGTGACTAGCAAGGATGAGTCATCACAAGAAGGCAGAAAAATTTTAGGAAATTTCAAAGCCAAGTGCTGGTTAAAAAAATGTAAAAACATTTTTTTAACCAGCACGTCAAGATCTCTGGTTACAATTTTTTGAGAGTTTTCTATACTCATGAAAATTTTGATCTTTTTTCAACCACATTGTGGTGACCGAATTTGAATCAAATTTTCGCGCTGAAATTAATTAACAGCGGTGCGAAATCACATTTGCATAATTTGAATTTGAGAAAAAAAAATCAATCAAAAAAATCGTTTAACATAGGCAACCATATGCACGTTAGCGCTTGGGGTTAGCGTAATTATTGTTTGATTCGGTGTTATTTGAGCATGGTGAAAAGGACGTTGTAAGTTGGCTAGGTTAAATTAGTTGATTTGGTAGTTAATAAAAGGGAGGAAGCCTTTGTTTAACGAAAATTAATCGTAATGATGACGTCACAGTTTTCCCCAATACGCGCAGCTAATTTTTGCGGCTTTCTAATCGGAAAAATCTAATTTTCGACCGACGCTACACGTGCTATAAATTAGTTTTATTATTTGTAAATTCACCGATCAGGTTAGGACTTTAATTGTTAACTGGTGTTAACACAATTTAACAGACACTTACTTGGAGATTTCATGAAACTCACTTGGTCAGAATAACAACCTTTGTTTACAAGTTATGAATGCTAATACTTAAATGATACATTATTTTGTTTGAATCGTTGATAAAGAGTGGCAAATGTTAATCTCATGTAAATTTATTAGCCTTGCAAATTTCACCTCATACAATTTTTCTCTATCTCACAATTTTTAACTTCAGTATTTGTCTTTGTTGTATAATTTAAATTGAACGTAAATTTTCATGCTCTGCAGTTTTAACCTCATGTAATATTTTTATTTGCACAATTTGCAGATCTTTGTTTTTATAAATCTTTGCTAGTTGTTGGTTTGTAAATATTTTGTTGATTGTTTCCATCGTATAAATTATCTGATGTCCAATTTTAATCTCACCTAAGAATTGTTTGTTGTTAAAACTTTGACAAGATTGTATAGCGAATTTAAATGTTGTTTATTGCAAAAGAGCAATCTTTATCTTGATTTTTTAAGAGCGAGAAATTGAAAAATTCGAAAGTTGAAAAATCGAAAAACTGAAAAATCTAGTAGATAAGACTGATTTTGGCAAATGAGATATCCTGTAAGAAAAGAGAGGGTGGGTGGGCGGGGCTAGTACCTCCCAAGATAAAACTGATTTTGGCAAATGAGATACCTTCTAAGAAAAGAGAGGGTGGGTGGGCGGGGCTAGTACCTGCTAAGATAAGACTGATTTTGGCAAATACTAGCCCCGCCCACCCGCCCTTATTTTCTTAGAAGAATAAGTCATTTGCCAAAATCAGTCTCATCTTGACAAGTACTAGCCCCGCCCACCCACCCTTATTTTCTTAGAGAATATGTAATTTGCAAAAATCAGTCCATACTTGCCAAGATCAGATTGATTTTGGCAGATGAGCTACTCTTTCAAGAAAATAAGGGGTGGGTGGGCGGGGCTAGTACCTTTTCTTAGAAGAATGGGTCATTTGTCAAAATGAGTCTTATCGTAGTGAGTACTACTAGATTTTTCAGTTTTACGATTTCTCAACTTTCGAATTTTTCAATTTCCCGCTTTTTAAATTTTCAATTTTCTGAACTGTCTTTAGATTTTTGATTTCTCAGGGCAACTGAAAAAAACTTTCGATTTTTTAATTTTACAGTTTTGGCTTTCCGATTTCTCAATTATTTGGTTTTTAAAAATATCGAGAAAATAGATGTTTATTTTTTTTTAATTTTCGGTTTTAGATTTTTTGTCGCCGAGTTTTTGGAAGGGAGTACAAAGTAATTTTGATCAGCGATTGCCATGTTTACCGTAACTTTAAAACATTTGAAAATTTTGTTTCTAATTTTCAGTTTTTGGATTTTTCGATTTTTCAAAATTTCGGTTCGAATAAATTTGTTCTTTTAGTTAAAAAATCGAAACATGACAAATCGTGAAAAGGAAAAATTTTAATTTGAGAACTTGAAAAATTAAAAATCAAAAAATTCCAAAATTCTAAAGATAAAGCTTGAAAAATCAAAAGATTGGAACTAAAAACTGCAAAATTGTCAAACAAATTATCAAATGAAATATTCAAAAGTTGAAAAATCTAAAAACGAATTCGATTTTATAAGATTTGTTTTTTTTTTCAATTTTTCGATATTTCAGGTTTTGATTTTCCAAATATACAGTCGTACAATTTTTCGATTTCTCAGTTATCCGATTTTTCAATTTGTCATTTCTGATTTTTAAGTTTTTTTATTTTTAGCAGTCTTACCTTGACAAGTACTGGCCCCGCCCACCCACCCTTTATTTTCTTAGAAGAGAGGGTCATCTGCCAAAATCAGTCGTATCTTGAAAAGTACTAGCCCCACCCACCCACCCTTATTTTCTTAGAGAATATGTCATTTGCAAAAATCAGTCCATACTTGCCAAGATAAGATTGATTTTGGCAGATGACCAATCTTCCAAGAAAATAAGGGGTGGGTGGGCGGGGCTAGTACCTTTTCTTAGAAGAATAGGTCATTTGTCAAAATGAGTTTTATCGTAGTGAGTACTACTAGATTTTTCAGTTTTTCGATTTTTCAACTTTCGAATTTTTCAATTTCTCGCTCTTAAAAAATCAAAAATGATAAATCGTGAAAAGGAAAAATTTTAACTTGAGAACTTGAAAAATTAAAAATCAAAAAATTACAAAATTATAAAGATAAAACTTGAAAAATCAAAAGATTGGAATCTGCAAAATTGTCAAACAAATTATCAAATGAAATATTCAAAAGTTGAAAAATCCAAAAGCTAAAAAAAAATGAAAACTGGAATTACGAATTCGATTTATATAAGATTTGTTTTTTTTTTCAATTTTTCGATATTTCAGTTTTTAATTTTCCGATTATACAGTCGTACAATTTTCCGATTTCTCAGTTATCCGATTTTTCAATTTGTCATTTTTTGATTTTTATTTTTTTTTATTTTTAGCAAGAACTAACCCCACCCACCCAGCCTTTATTTTCTTAGAAGAATAAGTTATCTGCCAAAATCAGTCTTATCTTGGCAAGTACTAGCCCTCCGCCCACCCTCCCTTATTTTCTTAGAGGATGTCATCTGCCAAAATCAGTCTCATCTTGCTTGCTTGTTTATTGCTCTTTTGCAATAAACAACATTTAAATTCGCTTTGACACTTGTTCAGTTGTCCTTAATATCGGGGTCATAGAAATTGAACATTAAAAATGGAATTGAGGTTAAATAACACAGAAAACGTGGCAGAAGTGGAGTGCGCGGTTCCTAGTCGAGCTGGCGAGATTTATCGCGCCACCTGCACGAAAGATGCAGGTTAGAGTTTGCGACCGTAACGGCTTGCACGTACATTTAATTTGATTTCATTTAAATTTCGTCCAAAGTTCAATAAGTTTTTTTTTTGGGGCTGAGCATTAAGGGGTCCGACATAATAATAATAATAATAATAATAACTTTATTGCCCAACAGTTTCCCATTAACAGGACAAAATACATATTTGTGTACATGTTCAATAAAATAAAATTCAATTCAATTAAATTAACTTAAAATAAATTAAATTACAATAATAGAAGAATATAAACTTAAATATTACAAAAACATAAATTAAAAAGTTATTTGTTTGATCCCATTAGCAAAAATATCATCATATAACTTATTACCACAACGATATAGGTTAGTTATTGGAGATTTTTTTAACATATTAGTCTTGGGTTTGGGTAAATAAAATGTCACCGCATGACGATTATTCAGACGTGGCACATAGAAATTGATCATCGATAGGATGTGAGGACAATCAACTCTATTATGTACAATTTTCCAAAGAAATTTCGCAGAGTGCATATCTCTTCGCATGACCAAAGACTGAAACTTATGCTGATCAAGAAGAGCACTATATTCCATAGTTCTTTCGGGAAAATAACCATACAGCTTAAAAGACATAAACTTCAGAAATCGACGTTGAATACGCTCAATAATAAGTTTGTATTGTAAATAATAAGGTGACCATATTACTGCAGCATATTCGAGTTTACTGACTACAAAACAAAAGTAAAATGATTTGAATAAAGCTGGAGTTCTAAAATATTTCGAAATGCGTATTACAAATCCCAGAGATTTTGAGGCAGATGATACAAGTGTTTCAATGTGCTCTGAGAAAGTTAACTGTGAATCAAAGACTACGCCCAAGTCTTTAACAGTGTCATTTTTAATAAGATTTTGGTCATTGATGTAATAAGCAGAAAACAAATGATTTATTTTGCGAGTAAAAGTCACAAAACAGCACTTAATAATGTTCAAAAGAATTTTATTTTCTACAGACCATCTGTAAATCATGTCTAGGTTGTCCTGAAGAAGCTTCATGTCATTAAGATTATCAATGGAAGAATATATTTTTAAATCATCAGCAAATCCAAGTCTAGGACATGTAAGTGCCCTCAATAAGTCATCAATAAATAATATAAAAAGAAGAGGTCCCAGGTTGGAACCTTGAGGTACACCTGACGTTGACACATACTCATGTGATAAGTAACCATTATAAAAGAGTTAATTCGTGCAACCAAGTAAGATTCAATAAGTTTAATAAATGATGGAGACATGCCAAAAAAACTGAGCTTATTCAGCAGCAAGTTGTGATCAACACGGTCAAACGCACTAGAAAAGTCCGTGTAGATTACATCCACTTGTCCACCTTTATCTAATTCTTCAGAAATATATTGCGTTACTATCATGAGGTTTGTAATGGTCGATTTACCAGTTAAAAAACCGTGTTGATAAGGAGAGATGTGAAGATGAGTATTAAGATAGATGGTACTGTATATAACTTGTTCAAATATTTTCGAAAAGTTATTTAATATAGCTATTGGTCTATAGTTTTTTAGTTGAGAGATATCATTCTTCTTATAAATCGGAACAACTCTAGCACGTTTCCACAATATGGGAAAACAACATGAAGAAATAGCTAAGTTAATAATTGTACATAACTTAGTCACAGTTTTTTTTTCTTCTTTTTTTGTCAGTGGAGGAATAAATAACTTTTGTGTCCTCCATAAATTTTGTCTTTTATTTAGCAGTACTTTTCCAACCTTAGGGTTCACCACTTGCATCTGAACGCATCCCGCCATTTTTCAAAAACATAATACAGCCAACGCCAAATTTTGAATTTTTAAATTTTTCGCGGGCTCTCATTTTTTTTTCACATGTCAATTTAAGGCGGGATGTAAAGAGCTTTTTGCATAGATTTTGACCTTCCGAAGTTATCTCTGGCCACATTTCTTCAAAAATTTTTACCATTTTTCCAGAATCGCCAACTGAAATATAAATTTTTTTAGGATTATTGAAAAAAATTGGATTTTCAATCGAATATTCCTAAAATCTTGCCCCGGGACTACGAACACGCTATATTTTTGGCATTGGCAAGTCGAATTCTATATCCCAGCATTTTTTGACATCTTTTCGGCAATTTTGTGAAAACCCCCTTATGAAAATTTTGGCCAAAATTCTACCTTTTTCGAAATTCAACCGAACACATTTACCCTCCAGAAGTCAATTTCGGCCCTACTTCTTCGATAACTTCTACCATTTTTAAGTGAAATATGGCTTTTTTTTGGGATTAAAAAAATTGAATCTGAAATCGAATATTTCTAAAATCTTGCACTGGGACCATTAACACATTATATTTTTGGAATCAGGGCGTCGAAATGTATATTCCAGGATTTTGACCATTTTTCGGCAACTTTTTGAAAAGAAAAATTTTTCAGTAACCTCCGCCTTATGAAAACTTCGGCGCATTTTTGACCATTTTCGAAATTCAACCAAACACATTTACTTGTAAATTCCTACTTTCTCCTACTATTTTTCCAAAATCGCCAATTATAATATGGCAATTTTTAGGATTAAAAAAATACTTTCAAATCGAATATTCCTAAAATCTTGCTCCGAGATCGTAAGTTCAAAACTTTTCAAGAATTTTTGGGCAACTTTTTTCAAAATCTCAATTTTTAATACACATTTTAATCTTCGAAAATTACCTAGAGATATTAGAGATATTTTTTTGTAGATGTCGGGTTCATTTCTTCTTTTTACAAAATTCGACTATTAAATGAGTTAATAATTAAAACGAAGATATAGATTTTTTTATAGACACCTATATGTTAAAATTTAATTCAATTGATACCACAACAAAGTGCTTGCATCTGTTTTTCTCGCCATAAAAATTGCAACACAGATGTTAAAAATAACACTAGTGCGATTTTTTGTGGACCCTGGCACTGCTAAAAAAATTGTATGAATCGGAATTTTAAAAATAAACTAGAACAGTTATAAAAACTAAGAAGAGATAGTCAGAATATGTAGACACATATAAACTGTTCCATTAAGAAAAAACTGAGTTGTAAATGACGTCCAAAAATAGAACACTCTGTATAGTTGAAAATAATAATACTCAAAAAAACAATTCTAATAATTAGTAACTCATCTGCATATAAATTTTTAATATAAATTACCACAATTGTTTATAATTTTTATATTTTACATTAATAATAATTAATAACTAAATCAGTGATGTCAACACCATGTCACTAAAAAACCTGCTCAGTACTGACAGTTGTGTAGTTTTTTTTCAACAACAATCAACTTAACCTAACATTTGTTTGTATCTACGAAAACGTACAAACAATGGCCCAAACATCCCAAGTGAACTCCGTAAACAACATAAAAGCTTTAATAAACCAAAACAAGCTACTGGAAAGTTTAAAAATAGAATTAAAGAAGTATGAGCCCCCCAGACCAGACCTAACCTCAACACACAGCACCTTCCAGTTTAATACCGAATGTTACCAACTTGCGACCTGGCTGTGCGGTTGCCCCAAAAGAAACATGCTCTTTTGCTACATTTGTTTATTGGCTAACACACCTAAAGACAGTCACGAAGACAGCAACATATGGGTTGACGAAGGCGTGACATATCGTCAAGACTTAAAAATCCAAATAAAAGAACATGAGCGCAGTTCCAAACACTTGGTTAGTAGTTTAAGTTACATTTTAATAGGTAATAAGGATTTAGTAGATCAGTTGAGTCGCGAACACTTATTGAGTGTAACACAACATAATAAACAAGTGCTGCAAAACCGCTACGTTCTGAGTAAACTCATTGAGTGCGTGAGGTATAATACGAACTACGAGTCAGAAATGAAAGCGATTTTAAAGGAATGTAATAGTCGAACGGGGCCGATTTTTTCAGAATTATTAGAGTCAGTGTATGAAGTTTGTCTCAACGTTATTCGAAAGGAAATCGCCCAGACTAGTTTTTTGTCGGTTGAGATAGATGAAGCAAATGTTATGGGAACATCACCGCAGTTAATTTTTATTGTAAGGTATGAACTTCGAGGCCAAATTCATGAGCGCTTTGTCGGATTTGTGACTCCTGCTAATAAGCATGCAACCGGTATATCTGAGGTTATTTTATGCACTTTACAAAAATTAGGTGTGGATAAAACCCCGGATAAATTTATTTGCTATAGTTATGATGGATTTTTAACTGTGCACACTAGAAATTGGGGTATCCAACTAACGATCCACGCAGTTTATCCAATAGCACGATTTGTACATAGTTATGCTCACAATCCTGAGATGATCATTGAACATTTGGCAATTCATTTTAAAGATATCAAACTCTTCTTCGCTCAATTGGAAAGTTGTTCGGAATTTTTTTCGCACACGGAAAAAGTTTCCAAGTTGCTTAATTGCGATTGTAAGTTTAGTACGAAAGGACAAGTTGTGAATACGCTTTCAGTAAACGTCGAAGCGATAAATGCGTGTCTCGACTACATCATAGACGTCGAGAGTGAGCAATCACTAGTTGGTGAAGCTGCGACTATAAAAACCCTACTAACAGACTACAATTTCAACTACTGGTTGGACTTTTTCTGGAAATTGTTGCCGCATTGTAATGACCTTTTTTCCCACTTACAACACTTGGAAGTTTACCCGCTTACGAAAATCCAAAGATTGGTAGACGCTTTCAAAGAACAAGTCCGACATATCCGTTGCCAAATCGAGCGTAAATACGCCATTACCTACCCTTTTGCGACGGTTTTCCTCCAAGACGACACCCCCATTGAAAACGGGCCTCTAACAACCCCCGTTAAACAAGAACCGCAGCCCGGAAACTACCCCGAATACCCCCACCAAGAACGAATGAACGACGAAGTCGCCAAAAAAATTTGTGGTTTGATGGTGGAGTACGTCGATGAGCGTTTTTGTCAAATGCCTGGGTTGGCAATGGCCGCTTTGGTCCCCATATCAGGCGTGCCAGTCGCAGAACTCGCCATTGCTGCCAACGTCTTCAAACTCGATAAACTCGCACTGAAGAACGAGCTCAAGATTCTTTGTAAAAGGGAGGAATTTGGCAACGTTGCAGGTGCGCTAGTGCTGTTGCAGTATTTTTACGAAAATGATTTGATGGACGTGTTTCCTGAAACGTTCAAATTGTTGAAAATTTGTTGCACGATGCCCGTGACGACGTCGGAACCGGGAAGGTGTTTTGCGACTCTCGCACGATCCAGAGATTTTTTTAAAATTGCTCAGAGTGAGGAAAATCTGGATGTTTTAGGGATGTGTTGGTTGGAGAAGGATCTCATGAAGGGGACTCCAAACTTTTGCGATATGGTGATTGACCATTTTTGTGTGAAGTACAAAAGGCAAGCGGATTTTGAGTACAGAGAAGTTTGTTGAGGTTTAGGTGAGCAGGTTGTTTATAATGTTTTATTGCACTTTAGGGAGAAGTTTCAGTGACTGGATTTGAAGGGATTATAAACGAATTTAACTGAAATGAACTGACGGTCCTAGTACATTTTTGGATGTTGTTCCAGAAATTCGAAGATCAATTTTAAACATCCGTGGTGATGATTAAAGCAAGACGTTGGTATATTTATTTTTTCAAGAATGTATGTAATGTATTTTTTAATAAACAGTGTATCTTCACATAAATGAGTATATAGTAGAGGTAGTCATCACGATCTGTCATTTAGGCCATAACTAGTGACGTACCATTTGCGTTTTGAAATGGGGGCATTCTAAAATATGTATATTTTTTAAATTAAACAATATGAAATATAAAAAAACAAAATCTGAATTAAAGTAAATGGATGCAAATATACAAGTTATTACGGGCGTGTGGCGTCAGATTTTAAAGTTACGGCAGTTAACAGGAGCACAACAAAAGTACCGCTGGGGCGTTCTAGCACAAGCGGAGTTTGGGGCTACCGGTCGGGGCTGTTCTCCCCCCTCGACGGTGATTCCATCTATCGCAAGCTCCTGTCCGAAACTAGGCCGTTACGATCGCAGATCCGCAGTTAGATCTCGACTGTTAGTATTATCCTAACAAAGTGAATTTCATGCAATCTTCTAGCAAGTGATTTATTTAAATAATCCTGATTGTTAAATTGTGTTTGTACTAGCTGACAATTAAGAAAAAAGTAACTTGATTGGTGATTTACAAACAATAAAACAAATTTACAGCACGTGTTTCGCGTTGAACGGAAGTCTGCACTTTTTCGATTAAAAGGCCGCAAGAATAGTTACACGTGTTGGGAAAAACTGTGTCGTCATCATTACTTTTCGTTAAACAAAGACTTCCTCCCTTTTTATCAACTGCCAAACCAACTAATTTAAATTAGCTCTTACCATGTCTTTACATTCACCAAAATACATTCAGACTGACGCTCCGCCATACCGCCCTCTGTCTAACCACCAACCCTCTAACTAAAATCCCTAGCGCTGCAAATTGTCCAACTATCCAGCAGGCGTTACCGTGCACCTGGTTGCCTTTGTTTAACGATTTTTTTGATGAATTTTTTTTCTTTCTCAAATTCAAATTATGCAAATGTGATTTCGCGCCGCTGTTAATTAATTTCAGCGCGAAACTTTTGATTTAAATTCGGTCACCACAGTATATTATTTTATGAAATTTAAGTAACATTTACTATGAAAAATTTTGAGTTGACGTCATCGCAATGTTGGTGGGGATGGTCAGACAAATTTTGGTTAGCGTTTTACCATGTACAAGATATTCCTAAAATACATACAAAATTTTGCAACCATCGGTCAAGTAGTTTCGGAGATTATCTGTCCAATAAATATCGAAACGGGATACCCTGTTTTTCATACTCTAATGATTACTGGACCCTTTATCACTTAAATAATCTACCAGTAAATTGTTTTAAGGGTATGATAGGCATGATGAATTTTTAATCAAAATATATTTACTTATCCCCTCCAAAAATTGATGACGTCAGCTCAAAACTTTTACGAGTAAATGTAGAAAATATGATGAGTCTGTAGGTAATTGTGATTTATCATTCCATTCATATTTTTTGGATTTGCTTATACAGGTGACCAAAAAAATTTAATGAATGCGTGAATATATTTTATTGAATAAATCAAGAATTGCAAAACTGAATACTTTGAAATCTTGCAGACGTTTTAAAGATATTGTAAGCATGGTAAACTGTTAATCAAAATATATCCGTTTATTCTTCCATAAAAATTGATGACGTCATCTCAAAATTTGGCCGAATAAATTCTACCAAAAATGTGCAAAACATGATGAGTTTTTACTTGTCATTTATCATTGCATTCATATTTTTTAAATTTGCTTAATTAGGTGGCTCAAATAAAACTAATGAATGAGTCAATTTATTTTATTGATTAAATCAGGAAAACAGAAAATTTTGGGAATACAATACTGTTATTTTTAGTATTACACTTGTGGTGACCGAATTTGAATTAAAATTTCGCGCTGAAAAAAATTAACAGCGGCACGAAATCGCATTTGAATAATTTGAATTAAAAAAAAAATCAGCCAAGAAAATCGTTAAACATAGGCAACCATGTGCACGTTTAGTTCTTTTTTTGGTAGTGGGTAGTTCTGCTAGGGAATTTTGCTTTGTAGAGGGTGGGGAGAGAGTCACTCTTGGTTTGTTGTTGGGAGTGAAACCAAGTGGTGAGTTAGCTAGATTAAGTTTAGTTGATTTGATAGTTAATAAAAAAGGGGGAAGCCTTTGTTTAACGACGGTTAATCGTAATAACGACGACGCCACAGTTTCCACAACACGCATAGGTAATTCTTGCGATTTTTCCAAGCGGAAATAAGTGCATTTTCGACGGACGCTAACCCGTGGCGTAAATTTGTTTTATTGTTTTTAAATCAACAGTTCATGTTAGGATTTTAATCGTTAACTAGTTCTTACACAATTTAACAGTCAGGAATTTGTTTAGATCAAGTACTTGCTACGAGATTTCATGAAATTCACTTAGTCAGGGCTCATCCTTTGTGTATCTAATTATGAATAACGTTTCTGGATGCGTATACTTGAGTGTTACATTATAACCCTTCTTAATTCCTCACACAGGATTGCTAATAGTTCATCATCATCACATCACCGAGATATTTTCTTGTAACGTGGAAAGCTATATCACGGAGATATATTTTCTCGTAACGTTGAAATATATCACCGAGAAGCTTTTCTTGATACATTTTGCGTTGTTTATTTATCATGTAGTTCATGATATAAACTTTCAAAACTAATGGTTTTAAGTAACCAGTCACTTGGATCAAGGCATCATTTAACATAATGTAAATTCTTTGATTGAACCGTTGATAAAGTGTGGCACAATTTAACATAATGTAAATTCTTTGTTTGAATCGCTGTTAAAGTGTGGCATAATTTAACATCAGGTCAATTCTTTGTTCTGGCAGCCGCCGTGTGTTTTCAAACCAAGCACATGTTTGGAATGTAAAATCTCATCGACCAAATTAACAACATTGTGGATCATGTGGGACGTGCATTTTATTCTTTCGATTTAGACCATTATGTGCACAGCGCCACAGGATTGATCACATTTCTGGCATTTTGACGCATATTTCTGACGCATTTCTCGAACGACGCATGCGTCCGACGCCATCTTGAACCTTCAGATTGCCTGCTATGTTTTTATTTTGTGTTTGTTTGGTGGGAATGTAAACGATAGCCCACAATGCAGCTGAATAACTTCACTTTTAAAAAATAACCAATAACTCGACATAAAATATTAAATTCATGTAATTTTGTTAGCTTTGCAATTTTTTCTCAATTTCGCAGTTCTAACTTCAGTAATTTTCTTTGTTGAATAATTTAAATTGAACTTAAATTTTCATGCTCTGCGGTTCTAACCTCACGTAATTTTTTGTCTGCACAAGTTTTACTTCACACCAGATTTTTTTTGGTTTTATAAATCTGCTAGATTTTTTTTGTAAATATTTTGTTGATTACTGCTTACATCATATAATTGTCTGATGGCCAATCTTAATCTCACTTAAGAATGCTTTGCTGTTTAAAAATTTCACGAGAGTTTATGGCGAATTTAAACGTTGTTTATTGCTCTTTTTGAAACTTTAAGACTTGTTCAGTTGTCATTAACATCAGAGTTATAGAAAGTGAACATTTAAATGGAATTGAGGTTAAATAACACAGAAACACGTTGTAGAAGCGGAGGGCGCGGTTCCTAGTCGAGCTGGCGGCCACGCCATCTGCACAAAAGAGGCAGATCTTGAATAGAAGTCAGGGACGGTCGGAATGGCGTCACGCTGTCGGCTTCGTGATAGACCAGGAGCCCCAAACTCCGCTCGTGGGTAATTCTGCTGTGTTCTTGCCGCCACACGCCCGTAATAACTTGTGTATTTGTATCCATTTACTTTAATTAAGATTTTTCTTTGTTTTTATTAAATTTGTGATATTCAAATACTTGCATTGATTTATAACGTTTAATTTGATTTCGTTCCCACTTTGGAAAGTTTTTTTCTAGTCGCAGCTTTTTTTTTTGTCAGTGGAGGAATAAATTTTGTGTTTTATTTAGCGGTACTTTTCCAACCTTGGGGTCCACCACTTGCATCTGAACGCATTCCACCACAAAAAAAAACACACAACGTAGGGTTTCATTTTGTTAGACGATCACAACCAAGGCCAAATTTTTGAATTTTTGCATTTTTCGCGGGCTTTCAATGTTTGGATTATCACAAAGTTGTCTTCACTTTGGACATTTTTCACAAAATTTAGCACCAGCGGCTTTCTTCATTCAAGTTATGAATGAATTCGAAATATTTTATCAAATTGTTCTCCTCATCTTAAGAGTCAATATCAGGTATAGGTATAAAATACTGTATGCGTAAACACGGTATATATACTAAAGCATTTATTTGTCATATCAAAAATACTCTACTCTTTATTCATCAGTGGGATAAACAGGGCATTAAATGGAATGGTATGAATGTCAAGAGTGCCCTTTCAAAAGTAGATTTTATTCTACTTTAATTAAACACGCGAAGTTGTGTTACCTCTGGACCAAAACAGTTTCAGATGAAATAAATGCAAAAACTGTTTAATTGGTTGCATAATTTCAAATATAAAAATTATTCTTTAATTAATATTAGTAATGTAATGTTATGACTGTATTAAAAAAGAAAGTGTTTGATTTATACATTATTTATAAGCGATAAGCGTTAATAATAAAAATTTCAAAAACCTCCGTAACGAAAATATAACAGAAAAGAAGTAACAAATGTCATAATTATTCTGACAGATGACATATTCATAAAGTTCGATTCGTGTCCATCCGGGTGTCCATCAGGGAGTACCATAGAACCCCTCACTTTTAGAATTTTCAATGGGGACTGTCCAACCTCAAAAACGCTTTTTTGGACGGCATCATTTTTGGAGGTTATGTTGCACAATATTTACAAACAATTGATTTATTTTTGATTTCTTCAGAAAAGGAGGTAAGAAAAGCCTACTAATTGCTGTTAGTCTCAATAATGATTAAATCTAGGTAAACCAAAATGTCTTCGATGGAGTGTTTCCAGCCACTTTGTCCCAAGAAGCCCCAGAAGTGTAACGGTTTTAACTGTGAAAATACCAAACTTGAAGTTTATTATTGCAAACATTGTGATTTCGTCACAGAATTAACCGTGATTTTCAAAAATCACGTAAAAACGTGTCATAACTTGACAAAAAGCTTACAGAATGTAGATCAAGAATATACCACACAGGACTACTTTTGTAGTCAGTGCAACTTTGAAACACACTCTTTGATTATATATTATATTAAACATACTACGACATGTCAGAGTTCTGTATGGAACAACTGTGATCAGTGTGATTTCAAATCCAAACGCAAACATGCTTTAAGTATGCACAGAATTTCCAAGCACTCTAATGATAATGAAGTAACTTGGTATTATTGTCCACAATGTTCATACAAGGCTAAAGTCAAACGCTATGTATACATTCATACCCGTGCCCACCATTTAAATGAACAAGATATTAAATGGTATGAATGTGACAAGTGTGCCTATAGAAGTAAACTGAAAGAAACTCTAAGAGTTCACATAAACGCGATGCATTCAGACGGACAAGACATTAAATGGTACAAGTGCAAAGAGTGTCCATTCAGAAGTAAATTTCATTCGAGTTTAACTAAACACTCGAAGTTGTGTCACCTAGATGAAAACAGTTTAAAATGGTATAAATGCGAGAAGTGTCCATACAAAGGCAAACAAAACTCCAATTTAAAACGTCACATGATTGCATGCCACATGGATGAACATAATTTGAAGTATCAATGTAATAAATGCCAGTTCAAGGCTAAAGCTAAGTCCAATTTAATGCGTCACATAAATCAGCATCATGGTAGTGATATTAAATGGTATGAATGCCGCAGGTGCCCATATAAAAGCACGCAAAACTATGAATTAAAAAATCACAGAATTGTGTGCCATTTAGATGAACGAGGAATCGAGTGGCATGAATGCCAAAAATGCGAGTACAAAACTAAATTCAAACATTCTTTAAAAAGACATGTGGAGGCGCACCACTTTGATGGAGGAGAAATCAAATGGTATGAATGTAATGAGTGTCCATATAGAGCTAAACAAAGTCGGTCGTTGAAGAACCACATTATTACGCGGCATTCAGCTGAACAGAAGTTGGCACAGGATAACTTGGATGATGAAGACATTAAATGGCATGAATGTAGTGAGTGTCCATACAAAGTTAAACAAAAGCGGTCGTTGAGGAAACATATTTTGAAGCGCCATTCAGGTGAACTGAATTTGGGTAAAGAAGAAATTAAATGGTATGAATGTAGTAAGTGTCCATACAAAGTTAAACAAAAACGATCTTTGAATAGACATATTATTGCGCGCCATTCGGCTGAACAGAATTTGACACAATAAAGCAATTGTAGTTTTTTGTGCCTTTTTGTTGAAGATCAAACCGTTTCGTGGTAAAATTAAATTTAAACCGCCTTTGTACAAGACAATAAATAAATAATCCTGAAATCAGTCAAGTGTTTTACTTGTTGTGGTATTTTCACTAAATAATACGTTTTCTCTGCCATGTGTAAATAGTTAAACTACAACAGTTATTATGCCTTTTCGACACGGTGGGTTTACAACGTGACCTTGAACTAATCAGAGCCGAGTTTTCTGTAAATGTTAGGTATCGACAGTCGTTGGAAGTAATTCAATTCCTTTTCAAGTAATCAGTAATTGTAACGAATTACTTTTTTTTACAATTACTTTTAACCCAAATACTCAAAAATATTGTTTTGTTTTTCTTTACGGATCGTTTACCTGATCTGCTGGGATTATTATACCTAGTTCGTCCCCACAAAGTGAAGATTAACCCAGTAGGCAGTTAAAATCTAAAACGAGTTTAGCACAGAATTTGTTAAGAAACCAGGTAAGCATAATATACATAAGCTCTTTATCATTTTAAGGGTGAGCTAAAGCATATTCCACATATAAACTTCTGCCCAAGTTTTTGCCAAAAGTATACGTCCGATTGTAATAAATTTCACACCGTTGAAATGAGCGTAAAAAACCCTACCCAGACTGCTTTTCCGTTTTTTAAATTTTGTTGTCAAAAAAGAACTATAACGCCTTAAAATTGTGATGAGTATGAAATTATCTGGTTTTCGCTATTTATGGATCAATTTTAAATTTTCAAAAAGTAGAAATTGTATTAAAAATTCCATTGTGCTTTACAGAAATAAAATATCTTAATAAATATAATTGAGTAAACATGGGCAGAATAACTAATTTTTTTCATTATTGTCGCCTAGACAATGTTGATTGCACCTCACCCAAAGAAAACTTTTTCGTCCTCACCTGATTAAAAAACTGAAGCAAATTTTTGGGTTGGTAATCCTGAATTATTGGCAGCAAAGTTATTATGTTAGTTCACAATTTCAATTCGACTTAGGTATACCATAATAAAATTTTAAATGTACTGCTAGTCTAACAAAAATCACAAATTTTAATAGTTACTTGGTAGGTATTGTTACGAAATAAACCCATACGCCGCCCCGGTACGACGCCTATGGGCCGTCGAGAACTTTCTAGTGTGACTCATTGTCGAGGACAGCCACCGGCGTTCGCTAGAGAAAGGCCTGGACGCGGAAGTCGCGATGGATTCCAGAAAGACCTGGATCATGAAGCTTCTAGAAGGAGAGTATGGCTTTAAATTGAGGCCACTTTCGGGAGCGATCATTATTCAATCAAGAAGTCGAGTCCACCACGAAGTTATTTTGTACATAATCACTGTAATATGTATTTAGTTAGTCGTGTAAATTTGAGTTAGTAAGAAATAAATTGTTGAGTTTAACTCATGCCGATTTTATTCACCGATCTACGTAACAGTATATATAATTATTATCCCGGCGCCTCCACCCTAAATTGACATACTTTTTTTTTTGTAATGGTTGATGTATGCTAATTTATACATATTTTGTGTTTTTGTGGTAGGTATATTAAAAACTAAAAAAGTTGTCTATTTATTTGTCACAATACTAATATTCACAAATTCAACAAATTGAAAAATTGAAAACTTTTTTAAAGAACGAGAATTTTCAACAAAGACAATTATGAAAGAACAATTGCCGAAAATGTTGCCTTTCTATACATATAGATACTATTGATGACGGAAATGACTAAATATTGATATTTTCAACACTATTTTTGATAGAAGTCTGCTTATTTCTGATTATTGTTACTAATCCTCATATTATTAATTTGTTAAAAATGCATAAATTAAATTCTAGCGTAAACTATATTAGTCAAAAAAGAAAATTTTATCAAATATTTGACTAAAGTTATAACATTTTTTTTTATTAGAACATACACTATGTGTTTAAAGATAGAAGAGCCTTGGAAGTAGAAGGTCGGGATTTGGCTTAAGTTCGACCTCAACCATCCCAAGGTTGTTTTTATTATTTTCTACTACTCCTTTAATGTTCCTAAAATTCGAGAGCAGAGTAACGTTATGATAGTTTTGTAATAAGTATGACAACTAGTTGATTGTCTTTTGTTGTTTGTCCGAGAGAAAGAGAAAAAGTTTTATGCGCAGTTTTTCCACCACTATACATACGTTTGTCTTAACTGCGATCATGGTTTAAATATTTTAGATACTCCTAACATGGAAACTTGAAGTTACTGGACTTTCATTAAACGCTTCCTTTCTGGAATCATAATAATAATATCTTAATCTTAGCTGCTGATACGTGTTAAACAATGGCGTGGTGAGTTAACTTGGTTAAGTTTAGTTGGTTTGGTAAATAATAAAAAAAGAAGAACCTTTGTTTAACGAAAATCAGTCGTAACGACGAGGACGCCACAGTTTCCCCAACACGCGTAGCTAATGCTTGCTGCTTTCGAAGCGGAAATAATGCGAATTTTCGACCGACGCTAACACGTGTTGTATTGTAAATTTGTTTTCTTGTTTGTAAAATCACAGGTCTTGTTATGAGTTTAATCGTTAACTAGTTCTAACGCAATTTAACAGTCAGGAATTTGTTTAGGAGATTTCATGAAATTCACTTTGTCAGGACTCGTTTGATTTTGTTTGTCTAATTATGAATAAGGTTTCTGGATGCTTATACTTAAATGTTACATTATAACACTTCTTAGTTCCTCACACAAGATTGCTAATAGTTAATTTACGGTAGTTAAATTAACCTAACGTTGCCCCACTCTGGGAGAAGACCGTGTAAGTGCTATAGAATTCATAATATCATTACCGAGATATTTTTTCGCCACGTGGAAAGCTATATCACCGAGATAGGTATATTTTTTCGCAACTTTGAAAATTACATCACCGAGACGCATATTTCTCGTAATGTCTGATACATTTTGTGTTCTTTATTTATCATGTGTTTTGTCTGGGATAAGCTGACACAGTCCACGATATAACCTCTCAAAGCTAATGGTTTTAAGTAGCCAGTCACTTGGATCAAGGCATCATTTAACATAATGTAAACTCTTTGTCTGAATCGTTGACAAAGTGTGGCATAATTTAACGTAATGTAAATTCTTTGTTTGAATCGTTGATAAAGTGTGGCATAATTTAACGTAATGTAAATTCTTTGTTCTGGCAGCGCCTATATTGAAAGCGTATTTTCAAACCGAGCACATGTTTGAACTGTAAAATCTCGTTAAACAAATTAACAACATTGTGGGTCATGTGGGACGTGTTTTTATTCCTTTGAGTTACACCACTATTTGCACACATTGGGAGACATATTTTTGACGCATTTTTTTGAACGACGCATTGGTCCGATGCCACTTTGAACTTCCAGATTACCTGTTATGTTTTTTTGTGTTTGTGTGGGGGAATTAAAACGATGGACACAAAATATTAAATTCATGTAATTTTGTTAGCTTTTTCAATTTTTCACCTTATACAATTTTCTTTGCTGTATAATTTAAATTGAACGTAAATTTTCATGCTCTGCAGTTCCAAACCTTACGTAATTTTTGTCCGCACAAGTTTTACTTCACACCAGATCCTATGGGTAATTTTGCTGTGCTCTAGAACGAAATTGACGTAGTTCGATGACCACACTTTTATAGCGCTTTGGGCCGCTGAATAGTTTTTTATTAGAATTTTGTCCTCTTGTTGACTGCCATAATTTTAAATATGCCACCACACGTCCGTAATAACTTGGTGATTTGCATCCAGTTACTTTACTTCAGATTTTGCTTTGTTTTTGTGAAATTTGTGATATTCAAATATTTGCATTGATTCAGAACGTTTAATTTGATTTCATTCAAAGTTTTTTTTTATAGCTGAGCATTAAGCTTTGAGTGTGTGGAGTGAGTGAGTGAATCTCGCGATTATTTCTGCTCCGCTAACGATAAATTTTTATATAAACACATCATAGTGTTCCGTAAGTTTTGCTTTTTATTGTGATATAACTCATTGTTAGACAGGCAAAGCTGAAGTGTTTAAATTAATGCAATTTGTGACAACTTATGCTATTTTACGCTATCTTTTAAGTGGCCTGAACCTTTTACAAGTAGTTAGAATCTTTTTTGTGTCTGCGTACTTTATTAATTTTTATTCAACTCAATATTAAATATTGTCGCATTGTTGTAATTCCTATAAGGCAGAGGTGTAATTTTAGCACCTTACTTGCATATCCACTCACTATATATTTTTTTCTTTCTTTCTCATTACTAAAATGACTGTTCTATGTAAAATCTGTAATGGAGCAGTAACTCCTACTGTACCTGCAATGAAATGTAGCTCGTGTGCTATTTACTTCCATATTAAATGTATAGGTATTGATAAAGCCCATTTTGATATAATTAAATCTTTAAATGGAGTCTCCTGGAAATGTGATAACTGTCGCTCATTAAATAATACCACCGAGGCAGGACAGTGCAATTGTTGTAAATTACTTCCAAATTTAGTTGAAGCTATTAACAAACTTAGTGAAACCGTTAATACATTGCAGCAACAACTCCTTAATTTTCATTCTGATAGATCCAACGAAGAAACCATCATTCAGGAGGTTAATGAAAGGCATAAACGGGCTAAAAACATAATTATTTTTGGCAGTGCCGAAAAGGCTGATGTGTCGATTGACGAGCAAATTGAACAAGATCGCTTATTCATTCACCAGATCCTTGAACAACTAAATTTACCAGTTCAACCTAATGAATTGAATGTCCATAGAATCCGTAGACGCAATCTTGTAAATCTACGTCCAAGGCCTATCAGAATCACTCTTAAATCCGAATCCGACGCTCATATGATTGTCAGAAAATTTCAAAATCTACGCAATATAGATCTTTACAAAAATATTTCAATGAATTATGACAAAACGCCTAAGCAGATTGCGTATTATAAATCTGTGAAGCAAGAATGGACAGATAGAATTAGTCGTGGTGAAGCAAATTTAAAAATTAAATATATTAATGGCACACCAAAAATAGTGACTTTAAACTAGCTTGCTCACTCAGTTATGATGGTAAATTCTTACAGTGCTATTATCAGAATGTTAGAGGTTTATGTTCTAAATCTGTTGAATTTTTTAATTCTGTATCATCCAATTATTTTGATTTTATAGCTGTTTCTGAAACTTGGTTAAAGTAAGATATTTTTGACAATGAACTTTTCCCACATAATTTTGTTGTACATCGTAATGATCGTAATTTAGCTGAACTTGGTTTGTCCAAAGGTGGTGGTGTACTTTTAGCAGTCAGTAATCAATATAACTCTACGAAGTTAGATCTTTCGTCCATTACAAGCTTGGTTCCTATTTTAGATATTGTAGGTGTTAAAATCACCGGTAAATTTAGTCAAAAATTACTAATCTTTGTTTTATATATACCACCATCAATTACTCTAGCAGAATTTGAGTTATTTTTTGAAACATTCATTAATCTAGATTTTATACAGAATGAAAAATTAATAATTCTGGGTGACTTTAATACGCCTGATTTTAGCCTTAATCTTAAAACTAATTCAAACTTAGTGTTAAATAATTTTAAAGAATTCTATAATATTTCACAGTACAATAATGTAAGTAATAGTATGGGTCGGCTTCTAGACTTGGTTTTTTCTAACTTGCAGTGTAGTGTCACAAAATCTGAAGATCCGGTTGTAAAAGAAGATCCTCTTCACCCAGCGCTTATTGTTGAATTCTCCGTAACTGATAAAATGTTTAAAGAATTTTGTATGAACTCACAGTCTAAATCTTTCAACTTCAAAAAAGCGAACTATCCATTAATGTATGATCTCCTCTCGAAAATTGATTGGTCTTTTCTTGATGACATATCTGATGTCAATACTGCTTGCGAATTACTTTATAAAACGATTTATGAAATTTTTGAGTGTACTATCCCCAAATATCATTTCAAAAGTTATCATCATAAATATTATCCTCCTTGGTTTAACACTGAAATCCTAAATTGTATTCGTAATAAATCTTTAGCTCATCGCAAGTACATAAAGCATAAATCTACACATTATTACAATACTTTTAAATACCATCGATCTCAACTAAAAATAATGATTAAGAATGCATACAAAAATTATATGTCAAATATCGAGGATAAACTGCATATAGATCCAAAAAAGTTTTGGGAGTATATTAACAACAAAAAAGGCCATTCGAGAATCCCCGACTTAATGAAATATAATAATGAAGAACTCGACACTCCGAATACAATTGTTGAAGGTTTCGCAAATTATTTTAATGGAGTCTACAAAAATTCTAATTCCAACACAACTGCCAACAACTATGAAATCAATCCATCGCTACTACTGAATATCAATAATATTTCACAAAAAGAGATTTTATCTGCTTTAAAAAGTTGTAAAAATTCGCTTACAATGGGACCTGATGGCATTCCAAGTTTTCTGTTACGAGACTGTGCGCATATTTTTGTAGATCCTTGCTTCCGGTTATTTCATAAAATATTAAATTCTTCCACGTTCCCAAATATCTGGAAAAGAGCAACTATCTGTCCAGTATACAAAAAAGGAGATGTAGCAGAAATAAAGAATTATAGACCTATCTCTCTTCTTTGCAATTTTTCCAAAGTTTTTGAATCTATAATTTATAAACATATCTATTCCTCAATTAAAATGTTTTTGTCGCCTCACCAACATGGATTTATGGAAAAACGTTCCACAATTTCAAACTTAGCCTGCTTTACACAATTTACGTCCAAAGCAATTGATAATCGTCAGCAAGTAGATACTATTTATTTTGACTTTCAGAAAGCGTTTGATCAAATTGATCACTTTATACTACTCGACAAATTAAAAAGATTTGGTTTCTCAGAAGGTCTTTTAAAACTTTTTGAATCATACTTACTTAATCGTGAACAATATGTTAAATATCGCAATTACAAATCGAATATTATTAAGCCTGCCTCTGGTGTTCCACAAGGCTCTAACCTCGGCCCCTTGCTTTTCCTACTTTTTATAGATGATCTTGGAGACGTTATTTCATGTCAGAAATTATTTTTTGCAGACGACCTTAAATTGTTTTTAAAAATTACCTCAACATTGGACTGCCAACATTTACAACAAAATATATGCTCAGTATGCGACTGGGCTTCCAAAAATAGATTGTCGTTAAACAAAGATAAATGCTTTGCTATGACCTACTCTAGAAAAAAGGAGAACATCATTTTTCCCTATCGAATTGAAAACAGTTTAATAAATAGAACTGAAAGGATTAAAGATCTAGGTATACTCTTTGATACTAAACTTCAGTTTATAGAGCACATTCATGAGATGGTATCCAAAAGTTTTAGAACGTACGGATTTATCTACAGAAATTGCCGAGATTTTACTTATACACGAATCTTGTGTTCTCTATTCTTTTCTCTGGTGCGATCACAACTTGAATACGGAGCTTTAATTTGGTTCCCAATATATCAGATTCACATTCAACATATTGAACACGTCCAACGTGTTTTTTTTTAAATTCCTATGTTTTCTACTTGATGGTACTTACCCAGAAAGAGGCTATGACCATTCTGCTTTACTCTCAAGATTTGACTTTTTACCTCTCCACTTAAGGAGAATTATAATAATAATAAAATTTTTAATACATCTTATAAATAATAAAATAGACTGTCCGTTACTTTTAGAACAACTCAATTTTTTAATTCCAAGGATTAATACTAGACAAATTAACATATTCTATTGTGAATCAAGCAGGACCAACGTATTAGTAAGATCGCCTATTGCATTAATGTGCGAATTATTCAATGATATTGCCGCCTATTGTGACATTTATAGTGACTGTTTTAAGTTCATTACTAATTGTATTAAAAACCATTTCTGTTAAATAGGTTTATTTTTAGTTTTTTATTTCTTTTTCTCTTTTTTAGGGTTTTTTGGTTTGTAATCAATATTATAATTATTTTGTTATCTTTATGTATTCACTCTCACTCTATTAATCAATTATTTGTCAATATTTCCTGTAACTGGGTGTAAATACCGTAGGAAATAAAGATTTATTATTATTATTATTATTATTATTATTATTATTAAGCGGTGTCTACAACGGGCACAACTTATTGAGTCACACAGCCAAGGCCAAATTTTGAATTTTTGAACTTTTCGCGGGCCTTTCAAACTTTTTCAAGTGTCAATTTAAGGCGGGATGTTTGGGTTATCACAGGATTGAACTTATTTTCCTTGACAATTTTGCAAATAAAGAACTGGCTAATGCCTACCATTTTTGCCAATTCGTGTTGCCCCACATGGGGTTCCTCCTCAAGAATTTGAATGACTTATACTTAGTTCGAGTTTCTGATCGGTAGCTACCCTTTGCTTTAATAACTTAAATACATTTTGCACAAATTGTAATAAATCTGCAGAGTTTATCAAAAAATAAGCAGCGTGGATTGAAAGTGACTTTTAAAAGAAATATAGCGAAGTAGGCTGTGAAAAGTAATGTTGGTTGCATCAAAAAGTTTGAAGGCTTATTCTTCCTCGTGAATCGCCCTGTATAATACATTTACATTAATATCAATTTTTTATTTATCATAGAAAATAGCAAAAAATTGTTATATCGCCTCTAGCGAATTCCCTTTAACAGGGATCGTAATGTTTGAAAGCGTCTACCAATGTCGGGATTTTCGTAAGCAGGTAAACTTTCAAGTGTTGTAAATGAGCAAAAAATATCAATTAAAATTGTAGTCTGAAGCTCTTTATAATTGCAGTTAATAACAATAATACGAATTTTAAGTTTTAAAAAATTTGCAAACAATAACACTTTATTTTATAAAAAAAGTTACAAAGGATTAGTTTTAAATAACAAGACTTTAAAAGAATGTTACATATTGATCATTTTAAAACACAAAAATGTTTTCATCATCGTTCGACAGTTTCGCCAACATTCAAAAAATGTTTTTGACTACTAAATAACGTCACATGGTCCGCTTTAGATTTAAACATTTTCTTTCTTTCACTGGAAATCTTAGCGACCGGAATTTTCAACGAAACGACAACCGAAAACGGAAAAGTGTAACTGCGCCTTAGTAATTTTTCGTTTTTAATTATACATTAATACAACTGTTGGAACGCAAATCGGGAAAAGTCCGCATCCCCTTTTTTCTGTCGGCACAAATGTTCAATGACCAACTCATTAAAATTCGGAGTACTCTTCATCAGGTCCTTTTCTAAGAAACACACAGTCAGAACGTCAGACTTCTTTTCGCCTTTTCTCAGGAATTTTTTAATTTGTTTCAAAGTACTAAAACACCTTCCAGGTTCAGACGTCATCATAGGCACAGTACAAACTATTTTCAGTAATTTAAAACATTCAGGAAGAATATCAGCTAGCTGGTTTTCGTACCAGTACCCCAAGAGAGACAGAGCGCCTTCCGCTTGAGACAACTCATGTCTGTCATATATAATTTCCAGTTCGGCGGTGAGTGCGTCTTTGTCCAACGAGAAAAGTTTCGCTACTTGTTCTACTTCCGCTTTCGGGAAAGCTACTTTATACTGAGCGAAAAAACCCGGATGGACCAAGGAAGCTAACACTAAGAAAGGACTTGGTGTGACGCGTTCTTCAATGTATGCCATAATCACGTTAAAAACCTGATTAGTTTTCACCGTCCGCGTGAACTGTCTTAAGTCTTGCGTGGGCGGAGCTTGATCGTAAACAATATCGTTCACTTCTTCCTTAATATATACGGTTTCTCCCATACGGAGTTTCTTACTCGGTGGAGAATTCGCCTCAACATTGTCACCAATGCTACTTTTCACATAATTCATCTCAGTTTTGAAATTTTCTACAATCGTTCTGACTTTCACCGCATCAAAAGCTTTCAGTTGTTGCATTTGGTAGAAGAGTTCGTCACACACAGGCATAACTTTCGCAAAGAAATCCACCCAGTAATTAAAATCTTCATCGTCGAGCAAGTTTTTCAAAGCCACGGCTTCAGCAATAATCGATCGTTCCACCTCTACATCTATAATTAAATCCAAACATTCGTCAATATCGCTTTTGTGTGAACATAGAGTGATCACTGTGGGTGACGTCGCTTGAAAATTCCACTCAGTTTTGAACTCTCCATGCAGCCGATTTGCCACCACACCGTCAAGAATGGTGATGTATTTTTCCGAACGTGAAAAAAAATCCCGGAAACTTTTCAAATTGACGAAGAAGATTTGAAGTTCTTTGTAAAGAGACCCCGTGTGTTCAACCACGAAATCGATATTGTGCGCATAGCTGTGAATGAACTGGATTTTTTTAAAATAGTCTTTAAGTTTTGAATGTAGACCCGACCGACGAGAAAATATCGACGCCAAGCCGTCATAGCTAAACGATATTATATTGTCGGGTTTCGTATGAACAGCAGCCAATTTGTGAAGTTCGCACAACATAATATTCGCAACGTTATGTGAATGGTTTGATTGTGTTTCTGCATATTTCAAAAAGCGTTCATGGATTTCACCTTGTAGTTCATACCGGACAATAAAAACTAGCTTCACGGGAGATCCGACTGTGCTAACTTCATCAGTTTCCAGAGACACAAAATCTGTTTGTCTAATTTGTTGGTGGATTAAGTCAAGACAAACTGCATGAATGGAGTCTAATAACACATCACACACTTGATCTGGGAATAAAGCACCACTAACTGAACTTTTGCTCTCTTTCATCACTTGCGTCATTTCAGCTTTGTAATCACTCTCACCACTAGTGTACTTTACACAGTCAATCAGTTTACTCAGAATGTAACGATTTTGCCGCACTTTCTCATTATGTTGTGTCACACTCACGAAAAAATCGTTCTTCAGATGCGGTTGAACATGATTTTCTCCCAGTAGGGCGTAATCGAGGCTGCACTGCATATGCTGTGGCGTTGCTTGGTGTTGATTGATTTTCTCCATTAGTTTCGTTTTTGACGTAAGCCAATAATATGACGGCCCGTTCAATATATCTGTCTCCTTACCGTTCATAACTAAACAAATGTAGCAAAAAAGGGCGTTTTGTTGTGAACAGCCACACAGCCAATCTGCCAAGTTGTACATCTCCATGTCGAATTTTTCAACCAACACTTTGTAGAAACGTTGGGTTGGTAAGGGATGTGTAATGACCAAATCTGGCCGAGATGGGCCAAGTTTTTTTAGTTCGGCTTTGACGGCTTCAGTGAGTTCGCCTCTTGGTTGGCCTTTGTCCGCTAAAGTTTTGATGTTTACTACTGTGTTCATGCTGCACTGGTTTGAGACTGCAGCTAGTGATGTGAAGACTCTAATCTAAAGCTCGCCTTTTTGGAATAACAAAATACACAACAAATGTACACAAAGAAAATCGAATGTTTTGGAACTCCATAATATTTATCAAAGAATGAGGTTAGGTTAACATAAACATAAATGTGTCAATTTTGCTTCCTGTAGATTATGCAACCAATCTGACATGGTATTTTAACTGAAGGCGCGGTACAAATTTGAGCTGTAAAGGCCCAAACACAATGCAAAAAATAAAAAATAATAATTATTTTTTGTTGTATTGTGGGTTTATACTCAATTTGTACGAGCTGAAAATTTGTATTCGTTATTTCTTATCGCCTATTTCCTATTTCTTACATTGTGTGGTTTAGGCTTTTAGGCGCATATCTTTAGTGTCTTGTTGATTTTGCTTAAAATTTAGCAGTTGGTAACAGCTTTCGGTTGATTGAGAACGGCTTTATATAGTAAGGTCGAAAATAAATGTTGCCAAATTTACAAGCAATAAGTGGTGTTTCAATAAATATCGCAAAGAGTTATAATTTATTTAGTACGAAACAATAAAGATTCTTCAATAATATCACACATTTAGGTGGATTTATAAACTTGCCGCTGACGTTGCCTTGTAAGATAAATACGCAGCGAAGGTATGCGTCGTTCATCTCATCCGTTGACGTTGCCGTTGAAAGTTGGCACGCCGATTCGTTGTCGTTGACGTTGAGTTATCAACCAATCAAATTGCGCTAGTGTGCAGTGCTTGCCAACTTGAAGGAAAATCCTCTGAAGTAGGCGGGACATTTTTCTAGTTGACAGCACTAATTCCACGAAAATAAAATTTTGATAGAGATAATGAGGTCCACTAATTGTAGCCATTCATTAATCAACTGTTTACAGAAACTGTCATATTTTAAATATCTATTTTAAAAAGATAGTTTTCGAGGTTTAAATCAACAAGATTTATTGCTATTCCTCTCAAAAACAGATTACGTATTATAACTCCAAGTATAGTCTTCTTTTCACAAGTAAGATAAAACAGGTTTATTAAAATGGTAAATTTTTGTAGGAAAGTATCGATTTTCCAATTAGACTCCGCCTCTCCGTATTTCAACGAATGAAAAATTCATCACAATTGAGATCGAGGGGCTTTACTTTTGGTTTTCTTTTTTAATTAATACATATAGTTTTCTTTGTATAACATGATCACTTACGAACATATTTCAAATGGTAATTTCTCGTAGAAAAATAAGGATTTTATAATTGAGCTCCGCCCCTCAGCTTACGACGAATAAAAAAAAACATCACAACTGAGATCGGGCGGGTGGGCGGGGCTTATCTTTTGCCTTTTTTTCTTAATATATGTAGCCATCTTTTCACAACAAGAAGATTAAAACATGATCAAAATGGTACATTTTTACAAGGAAGTATGGATTTTGAAATTATAGGGCAGAGCTTAAAAGGCACCTGCCCACCCGACCTATCTCAAGTGTGATGATTTTTTTATTCGCCGAGAACCAAGGGGCCGGAGCTTAACTGCAAAATGCTTATTTCTTACAAGAAATTAAAAACATGTTTTTGAGTATCGTGTTTCAAAGAACACTATGTATATTAAGAAAAAAAGGCAAGATTTAAACCCCGCCCACCCACCCCATCTCAATTGTGATGATTTTTTATTTAAATTTTTGTAAAGAAATATGTATTTTGCAATTAGGCTTTGCCCCTAGGTCTGGAAACGAATAAAAATTTCATTACTCTTTAGATCAGGGCAAGTATGGGTGGGACCATGGTACAAGGAGACATGGTATAAGCATCCGATGTACCAATTTAAAAATGGTCTGCGCATCTATTTGTGACGTTAGGTGGCATCAACGACCTTGTGACTCTTGTGAGCTTCGCTTGTGGCTTCGCTAAGGAAGTCTAGGGAATTTCAGCTTCAGTTGTCATTGCTCTGTCCAATACGTCAATTAGTTGTCGGATAACGAATTGTATTTTAAATTTCGCGCTAATTTCACCCCACTTGACGTCACACCCGATGCGTATGCCTATACCATGTCTCCTTCTACCATGGGTGGGACTTTAATTTTTTCTTAATATACATCGTATTCTTTGAATAAGACGATGCTCAACAACATGTCTTAAATGGTAATTTTTTGTAGAGAAATAATAAGGATTTTGCAATTAAATTGCGCTCCTTTGGCTCTCACCGACAAAAAAAAAACATCACAATTAAGATTGGGCGGGGCTTATAGTTATAGAACCTTAAAACATGTTTGTAGACAAATATGAATCTTGCAATTAAGCCCCTCCCCTTGATCTGACAACGAAATAAAAAATTCATCACAATTGAGAATTGAGATCAGGGCGGGCATGGGTGTGGCCTAATCTTTGGCTTTATTTTTTTCTTAATATAAATAGTATTTTGCAGGTAAGCCCCGCCCTCTTGGCTCACGATATATAAAAAAAAACATCACAATTGAGGTAGGGCGGGTGGGAGGGGCTACATTTTGCCTTTTTTTTTAGTATGTGTAGACTTATCTCGACAACAAGAAACTTAAAACATGTCTAAAATGGTAAATGTTTGTAGTGATCAACTTAAATCCTCCACTAAAGAAAGAACAAGAAATTACAAATAAAAACGCGGGAAATGTTTGTAATTACATTATTTATTACCTATAACATAATTTTACATAAAACATAAATACGCTATAAACTACACATTTTTTACTGTTACAGTTAACAGTCAGATGCTTTTGCAATTTTGTTAAAAACAGTTTGTGATCACATTTTTCTTTTAATTTTAGTCAAATTTTTGCACAATGTATTCTTAAAAATCGATATCTCCATTATTAAACGGTTTTCAATACTGTTTTCACTTTACAAAATTTCAGAAATCATATCAAATATATTTTCGATTTTTTTGTTAGAAACGATACACAGTAAAAAAAGCTTGTGTCATAGAAGTTGCTAACTTTTATTTTTACCATAACATAGTCCCAACAAATAAAGTCAAAAATAGTCCTAGTACGATTTCTAAAGTTTTGCAAGCTGAAAACAGTGGTGACAACCCCGTTCCAAAATTTCCATGAACAACTGAAATATTGATTTTTTAAAATACGTGATGCAAAAATTTCAACAAAATTTTAAAAATATATAATAATAATCAATTGTTAAAAAAAAATGCCCTCGCAGTTGCGTAGTGACAGTTGTGGACAAGTTACATTTAAAATTTCTTAACCATAGGTGTGTTAATAATGGAGATATAACATTCTGAAAATATATTGACAACACAATAAGAGCCAAATGTAGTGACTCCTCTTAACGCACTAATAGTGTCTCGACCTAAGTGTACATTAATATATAGCGATTCACCACTTAAAATTAAACAGAAGTTTTCATTTGAAAATTCTAAAATCATTTTTTTTATTTATTCGAAATGTACTGCGTAAAAATTCCTGCGTTTAATCAAATACCCCATTGGGTAATAACAGGTTCAGGTGATAGTGGAGTATTTGTCAACGTCTCTATGTAGGTATTTGCACCGTCAAAGATGGTTTTACCAATATTTTTAGGATCACTTATCAAGGAATTTACAATTGGAAATTTGCCTATTCATCCCTGCCAACAATGTGAAAACATCCCCTCAAAATTTTTTACAGTACTTAAGTAGGATTTAAATTTTTAAAAATAACACACTCCTGTATTTGTTGTTTATGAATCCGCTTTAAGATTTTCTCTCTTAGTCTCTTTGATTAGAATAGTGTCTCGGAATATAATTATGAATTATAAAAGACACTAGTCAAAGCACAGTAAATATATTGTTACGATTGACGGGCGAATAATAAATCGGGCGTTGGTAAAACTCAAAAATGTATTTCTTCAGGTCGAATTACAACACTATTGCAACGAATATGTACAGAAATTATTCCGGCGCTCTCGACTGTCTTCACTGGATGAATGAATCCATTACCTACGGTCGCCTCTATTTAAACCCATAGTCTCTGATCGAGATCCTTCACGAACATCCATCGCGACTCCGCTTCGAGACTCCCCTGGACGCCGCTTCGAGACGCTCCAGACCTGTCTTTATGCGCCCGCCTCTCGGCCGTCAACAGCGATGATTCACCCATCAGCGCCGTGCGTACGTCCAGAAGGCTCTCGACCGCCATAGGCGTCGTACTGGGGCGGCGTAAGGGTGTATTTCGTAACACTGCCCCCCTCTTCAAATCCGATCGTCCCGATCGGAAGCGTCTTCGTTGTTTCCTTCGTACCGTTTTAGTCGATCGAGATGAACGATCTTCATCTTCGTCTTTGGTCCACGTTGGATCCGATAAACTACTTCATTTATTCTAGTGACGATAGTGTATGGACCTTCCCAGTCAGGAGCCAGTTTTGGGCAACGTCCCTTCTTCCGTCGGGGATTATACAGCCACACTAAGTCATCTTCCTGGAATCCGCCACAGTTGGCCTTCACATCATAACGGGTCTTCATTCGGTCACTGGCAATCTTGATCCGGCCCCTCACTAGTTCATGCACGTTGACCAACTTCTCTTTCAGTTCGTCCACGTAGTCAAGTACTTCCATTGGTTCTTCGGATGGCAATCCAAAGACTAGGTCACAGGGCAGCCGCAGTTCCTTCCCAAATACAACGTGAGCAGGTGTTTGGCCCGTGGTGTCGTGGATAGCTGCGCGGTAGGCCAGCAGGAATAGTGGAAGGTGCTGGTCCCAATCCCTTTGGTGCTCTTCTACCACTTTCGAAAGGTGTTGCTCCATAGTCCGATTGAAACTTTCCACCATGCCGTCGGACTGTGGGTGTAGTGGCGTTGTCCTTGTCTTACGTATTCCCAGTAGCTGCATCACTCTTTGGAAGACGTTGGATTCGAAATTGCGTCCCTGGTCTGAGTGAAGTTCCAAGGGGACGCCAAACCTACTGATCCAATTGTCAACCAGTACTTTCGCGACCGTGACGGCTTCCTGATTTGGAATGGCA